ATAACTCATACTCTAGCCTCCAATCTCGAAATAGCATAGCTTAGAATACCCTCTAATGAGATTATTTTCTTATTATCATCTTAACATTTATAAAATAAAGCAGTAGTATTTTTATAGGATTTACCCTTTTTAGTATTCCGAGCTTAATTAACTCGCAAAACATCATCACAATTAAAATACTAATTATTTATTGTTATAACAACTAATTTGAGACGTAAAATTAAATCTTGCGTATTCAATATGGTTTTCTTGTGTCTTACGTTTAGTGTAGTTACTAAGATTTTTGTCGTAATCTAATAACGTATAGGTGTGTTATCTCTGCTTCTTCATTTAATATTCAACAGTTGCGTGATTCGCCTTTGGGAAAAATATGGTGTTATCTCAACAGACAGTGATCATTGGTCTGTACGGATTTATGTGTTTGTTTACGTTCCATCACCGCATATTGCTATTTAATGAGTGTTATTAACATACCGGTGGGCAGTGGTGACGTTCTGTGTGTACCGGACATCACCAGTTTGTACACCTTTGAAATTACTCATCTATAATGTGTTTATTTTTCCGTCAAGCGGTTTGTTCATGCGGGGTACAAAAAGTTAGGTTTATTCCTTTGTAGCTATAACAAAATAAAATAATGTCTTTAGTTTACGCGAGTACTACACATTGAAATAAAACACTTTAACGATTTAAAACGATATAGTCACGAGGTCTTCCCGTGACCACGGCTGCTGCAAAGCATCCGAAACGTCGGGCCGTAGTTAAAATTATTTTCAAATTAATTCAACCAAAATATATCGCGTTTTAAAGCGTTAAAGTATTTTATTAAATATAACAAAATATTCAGTTCACTGAAATATCTATTGATAGCAAGTTCAATATGAATGTCATGACGAGTCTAAATGTTATAAATAATGTTGGTTCGCTTTCTGCGTAAACCAAATCCAGCCAAACCCGGTTGATAAGCTTGTTGGTGTATTGTGTTCGAAGTAAAGCTTTTATAATTAGAAGAAAACGACGTCACATTTTGAACTAAAATGGCGTTCTTATTTTGAAATCAAACGTCAACCAATGAGGACAAACAAACAATGAATTAATATGTATGTTAATTATTATCTCATTTGGTGACGTATTCATCGACGATTGACGCGAAGAGAACGCCAATAGGGGAGGTTGGGACAGATGGAGCGGAACGATTTGTCCCTCTTACTGCAAGCCTAACCTCAGAACAATTATTAAGATAAAATAAATAACATAGATGTTTATATTTCTTTTTAATAGATCGTATGATATGAATATCGATATTATATGAATACACGTCTCTAGTCGTTATTTAGAAGTACCTGTACAGAATAGCCAGATACTGGTTTTCCCTCGTAAAGCGATAAACCATGTATGATACAATATGTGACTTGTGAATAAATATTATACCTAACGATGCAAATATTTATTCGTTTCTGATTTGTGATAGAGTCATCATTATTAATAAAACTACAAATCTGGTAACGAATACTAGTTTTGCTTAGAACTCAACGCAGGTCACATTGTATCTTCGAGCCTCACGTATAAGGAATTTATTGTCCGATGCACTCATTCTACTCAGCGTTTGTGTTGCTGGACTTCCCCACTAGCAAGTCGGTACTGTTAAGTTCCCGGTACTGAAACTGCTGGGACTAATTGCCTGAGACCAAGGCAAAGGCGTTAGTTTTTATCGCGCTTTTTAGTGGTTCCGTATCCAAAAGTTATTAAACGAATATTTGAACTCCATTTGCCGCTATAATAACTAACACCAAAAATAAAATGAACATTTAAGGACATTTTGCCATAATGAAAAAAGGTACTTTTGATTACTAAAAAAAATTATAAAGTCATTTGATCGCAGTTTTGTCTTATAGAAAAAGCGAGAACGCGACTTAGAGAACGCGATCATCTTTGCTCTAGATACATTTTTAGGTCCTAGGTACTATCAAGTGATCTGACCGCAATCTGGTTAGCATAGCATTGTTTACAAAGGTGCTGGAATTTCAGTTTGGAATTGCATAAAAGTGTGTCGGCCATACTTTGTTTACTATTGTGTCTCGGAAAGCCATCATCACTAATTTGTTGGTAATGGGTAGTTTGGAACGCCTTGGTCGCATCTAAGCTCTTTAACTATCTATCATGAGAGATATTTAGTAGCAATAAAAAAACAATATTGTTAAGGCAATAGTAATAATAATAATATGTATTTGCAACAGTAATTACTGTGGATAATTGATTATACGCTTGAATTCGATTCGTAACAAAATGCTTACGATTGTGTAATCGATCGGAGGTGAGAATGTGCTAAATCTTTCTTGGAACGCTCGGCTTAGAATTTTCTATTAGTTTCGGGTTCGAGTTACCCGCTAGCTGCAAACGTAGAAAAGCTTTTACTACTATAACTTCAAGGTGACGGGTCTTAACTGTCAAAGGATATTGCTTAACCCAGGTTCCGAGTATTTTTGATATTACCGTGTGTAACTCGATAATGCTGAGAGATTCGTTATGTCTGTCTTGTCGTTTTGACTGTAATATCGCGATGCATCATGTTACTCTGAGTCATTTAACGGTATAAAAAGAAATAATTGCGAAAACCAAAGTTAGCCGTGAAAATTATTTTAGAACAAAAACCGTTGCCATGACAACGGTATCGCAGTACATTTTTTTTAGTATTTATAGTTAATCTTTGTAAAGTATGATGTAACGTTTTTACACGCTTCTCATCAGCCGTGGTCACAGGGGAGTCCCACGCTTTAATCTGTTGGAGTGGTTTCATATTAATGTATCGCCCAAATTATATTAACTACGCAATTCGTTAGAATTCATTAAATGATCTTGTTAATGTGTTGATAATATCAGGTAAACATATACACAGGGGTCATCGCAATGAACTTAGGAAAGTGACCAAAGCATGTCAAAGCTTGGCTATTTTTAAACTTGAACATGATAACGATGAATATTTTAAAGCGAAACTAAATATTTCGTATATTTTTAACGTTTTATTGTTAATAATTCAGTTTAGTCCGAGGGTTTAAATCGAACTCTTTGCAAATTATAAAAGTATAGTATTACACGTTATTCAAAAGTCAATGTATTATCATTTATCGATGTGGAAATTGTGTAAGATTCCTGTTAACGGCTTAATTGGTTTGAATTTATAATCAGATATGTTACCACAGCGATTTACAAATTGCCAGCACTAGGGCCGAACTTTTTAGTCTTAAATAATGACGCAAGTGTTAGTCTGCAACAAGTTTGTGGATAAAAACAGGTATCTAACCCGGAAATCGTCAAGCTGTAACGTGTTATGATTAAATCCATTTGGAAACGATTTTTATTAGCACAGATAACGGAATGTGTCATCAAATCTCGTCTGCCTTATCAGATACTGCTCTCAAAAGATAACCTTATGTTTATCGACGGCAGTCGGGTTAATTTGCTTAAATAATCTTCTATCGATATTTTAAGCGAAATCAAATAACGTACGGGTTTATGCAATAATTTAGTTGGACTCGTCGATTCAATAGATGTAACATTCTAACCAAATGGGTCATGCCTTGTAATTATAAAACATGCGAACCAGCGCGAGCGTCTGGGATTTTTTTAACATTAAATGAGTGGTTGAAAATTGAAAATTTGGCGTCAGTTATAGACTATTGTCCAAAAAGGAAAAAGACGTAGTGTGAATTCGCTTTCAGGCCGTGGACTTTCGATTTTCCATTGCCAATATTGGACACTAGCGCGTCTGTTTTAGATGTTATAAGTCCCAGACGTTTCCATCTTTCATCCACAATAAGTATTTTCCAACTAATTAAATTACGTCATTAACCTTTGCATTGGATTACATTTTTCCTCCTTTACAATTTTTACTCGTTGTCGGCCTTTTCAAATGTATTTCAACATGCAAGTGTTGTGTAACTGACATGCAAGTATTACTGGTTAAAAGGACAGGACTTACGTTTTATAATCAATACATTGGCATTCTATTAATAGAAACGGGCAATAAAGGTGGTGTGATGGGATGACGACATTATCTGACCAATTAGAGCTGTAAGCGCAGCTTCGGTACATTTTTACATAAGCATATTAATCCGATGAAAGAATCGGCAGATTAACTTAACTGGATGAACGTACATACGATATTTGGGCAAAGTTATCTATACTAATATTATAAAGCTGAAGTTTTAACGCGGTAACCTCCGGAACTACTGGTTCGAATTGAAAAATGATTGTTGTGTTGGTTGGACCATTTATCGACGAAGGCTGTGGGCTATAAAACATCAGGCTATGACCAATAAGAGCGAAGAAACAGAAGGAAATGTGGATAATTATTCATCTTAGAGGGCTTCTGTTGCGTGCGACAACGGTTCAAGATAATTATGTACATATTAAAGTATTATTCTTTAAATAATCTGAAAAATGCCCGCGACAGTATATATCTATCTCTTGAGATTAACTTACTAGAATAAAACACTTAAACGGTTTAAAACGCGATATATTAGTTAAACTTATTTGAAAATGATTTTTAACTTCGGCCCGACGTTTCGGATGCTTTGCAGCAGCCTACCACGGCTACCTAAAGTAGGTATATCGCGTTTTAAACCGTTAAAAGTGTTTTATTTAAATTTGTACTACTCGCGTAAGCCATAGACGTTTTCAATTAAGCTAAGCAAATTTCGTCGAAATACTTCATATGACAAAAGAACGTTGGCCATGTTTTCTAGCTCTTAATAACTACCAATTCTATGAAAGAAGTCTTTATAAGTTAATCAATTTATTTTAGAGAACTTTAACGAACTATTATGTATGTTAAATAAAACGTGAATTAGTAGAATAACATAAATTCTATATAAAAACTCCGTGACAGCATAATATTTACCATCTTTTAAAGTTGACTCACTGTAAGAAGCTTAACTATCTTCCATGGAATACACGAGCGATTTTTTTCTTTAATTAAAATCATTTATTTCATATTGTTACAGTTTTGGATCAAGCGGACGGCAGGCCCGTCAAACTTAGTGGTGTTGAAACGCTCCCAAAGCAGTCTCCGGCTCAGTACATTGCTGAGGATGAAGAGGTAAAGAATATTTCAGGTTATCATGAGATATGCATAGGTCAAACAATCATCTAAGCACCGTAACGGGTCGGTGGTGTGCTTAGTTGTTCTGATCGACTATTGTCTCCGAGGAGGGTGTAGTACCAATTACTAACCACATAGATGTACATCAGTAAAAAAAGGTCATCAATATCAATACAATCATCTGCGTAATATTTCCTCAAAGGACTTAATTAGTTAAAGTTTTATTTTTATATAGTATTGAATATTATGCGAAGTATTTAATAAAATGAGACTTGTGAAGCAACGGAATTGAAATTCATGACTTAAAAACATTGTATCGTTTTGAAATAAAATGCATTTTATTGATAATGGGGCGCGACGAATCAATTAGGCGAAAATAGGCGTCGCTAAAACCGTCTCGGCGGGTGACCTTGCACAACATTGCCCTTGTTCTCGATAGCGAATAAAGAAGAGACCATCGAAAGATAACCGGGAATGATCTTGGGAAAGGTCTTAATGGTGGCTAATGGGAGTTATCGTAATGACGTACTTACGAGGTTTCTAATAGAAAGTAATTTGAATAATCTAGAAGGGCTTAAAACTAATTACGCTCGGCGATGCCACTTGTTGTTCAATGTTGAAAATTTTAGAAATTTGTCTTATATCTACAGTAGGTGAAATGGCTTTAGATCTTAAAAAATATCAACAAAACTACTGAGGTAAAATTCTTCTTTTTACAAAACTATTAAAATCGGTCAGTTTAGGTATAAAATATGAAACGAACATTCTATCGCAATCACAAATATGCAAGAGTTTATTCATTCATTACAGTCATTAATATTATTTAGACTGTTAAGTCTAAAGAAAATTAATGAATCCTTAACACATCGTTCTACGGCCAGACCGTATCGATTTTCTTGATATAACGCAGAAAATATGTTTGGCTGTGTGTCATTGCTTTATTATTGATTATTTACTTTAAATGCTTATACATTTTTCTATTCAACAAATCTAACGGTATACATACATTCATTGCTACATTATTTATTTTGTACAAAAATATTTTAAGAGACTCTAAAATAAAAATAAACATTTTTTAATAGTTTCACTAATAACAAAATTCGATGGATTTCTAAAAACAAAACAACGGTGAAAGATGATTTCTAAAACGGATAGTCTTCATATCTTTCTATTTCGTCGCATGTTGTAAAACGATATGTCCTAGCGTCTTTGTGTGCGCAATAGCATCATAATACATAGAAACATGATCATAGGAATCAATTGTATATGTAAACAATAATATACACTTTGCTTACGATAGCTGGCTACCTATTATGATTTTAATATAATCCTAGTCACGTTCAAGTTTATCGGCAACTTTTTTTAATGATAGATCCTTTCTATGACAAGAGACAAAGCAAGGGATTCACTTGATAGTAGGTCAACCTATTTTGTCTTTGAATATTCGGAAATCCATAGACTGAAACCGAAACAGTAGTTCGTGACTCGGACGGAATCCAGAGTTCTAGATGAAGTTCAACATGTTAGAAAATAGACCCGGTGGGGTTCGAACCCACGACCCGTTGATTATTGATTGCTACCATTAGACCAACAAGCCCGTCTAATCAGTCAAGCGACTTAACATCTTCGTAATATGCACCGTAGGTTAACATAATATGTAGAATATTTGTATTCGCAACGAACACTTTACACATTATGCGTACCTAGCACATAACGAACACGCTTTACGGACAGACACTGTTATCATTTATGTTATTACGTGACGATTTTACGTATCGTAATCGTTTGTTTGTTACGAAACGCCGTGTCGTAAGCTAAATGATATAAGAATTGAAATCCTTGCGGAGCGTTGTCTATTGTTATGTCAGTGTAACGCATGTCTGAAGTGATCTAGCGGTGTGGAAATCATTTTCTCACTAGCGGCGTTACTTGCGATTGAAAGAACCAATAGTTTCTAATATTAGCACATTGAAACACACAAACTCTTTAGCTTTATAATATTAATATATAACATATATTTAGATTAGCCAGAATAAGCAGACCAGCAAAGACGCTGCAAAAAGTATCTTTCATTTTATTAGTGCCATGTAACTGTTAATCTGAATCTCAAATACATTGAGGTTTAGCACGATAACATATCGAAATCTTGCTTGATGACTTTAAGTTTTTTTCGTTGTGCGATAACCAACAGTTTGCTAACCTGATACCGTCATACGAATAACGGCTTTCGTTTTTTCCATAAGCTTTGAGTCACGGAGTCACGACCGGATCTTCGTGCTCTAATGACCAACCTTCATTGAGGTCAGCTATGATTCCGCTACTAAGTTAATTATTCGCAATTACAGCTTGTTCTATTAAAGCGGCAGCACGTGGTCCGCGGATTATCTCCTTACGACACGGTAATGAGATGAGATGGCTTATTTGTAGAGTAGTCGCCTACTATGCAACCACGTTTGTATTTGAAATCGTATTTGTGGTTAGCCCTTTCAGCACTCATATCAACCGACATTTTACATTTTTATCGAAACAGGAATTAGTCGGTTTCCTATGAAAAAATATGAACTTCGGTTTTCCCTATGACCTACCAAGACCGTGACTGCTAATAGATAGTTACTAGAAAACGTCAGAAGTCAAGGTGCTGTTGAACCGATTGACATTTCGTTCGTCTTTGTAAATATTTGTAGCAAATTAAATGACTCATTAATATTAAAAATGTTACGCAACGTACTGAAATTGTCTGTAATATGTCTACTTACGTGTTATCCCTACTATTCCGCAAAATTTATTTTTATTTTTTTCAGATTGAACTTTCAGATTCGAATTGGTAAAAATAAGAGTTACAAATTAAAAGTAACAAAAAACAGTTGTGATTTTTTAAAAACGATGTAGAGCAATTCCTTTTCACGTATTCCCAATCATATAGCGTACTAGCTGTGCCCGCGACTTTGTCCGCGTGGAATAGTGACTTGGGGTAGAATTTGTAATTATTTAGGCTGGTTATTAATTTATGTAAGGGCGCATTAAGGGGCAGCCAATCTATGTTGTATGTGGTACTTTGCCGCAACACTCTCACCTCACATCACTCCTACTCTAACTCCCACTGCCACTCCCACGCCCACACGCCAAAGAAGAAGGTTTCATTTCCACTCTCATTCCTACACTCACTCCCACTCCCACTCCCAAAAACGAAAGAAGAAAGTTTCATTTTTCTAGCTTTAAAAAACCACGAATTTCCATACAAACTTTGACCCCCTATAAACCTCTTTGGCATTAAAAATTTGCCTATGTCCTATATCAGGCTCTAATATATCTATGTATGTTTCGTAGTTAAAGCCGGACAGACAGACAGACACAGGTACTTTCGCATTAATAATATTATTAAAATCTATAATTTATTTAAATAAAAATTTAAAAATGGTAAAAAATAAATGAAATAATTATTAAAATCGGTCTAGTACTTTTTGAGTTTATCCGTTACATACAAAAATAGAAATCATTCCTCTTTATAATATTAGTGTAGATAGCTGTTACCCACGATATTCGTATCCCGTCGTACGCATCCCGTCGTTCGGGTCGTTATTGAAAGTTCATCTTAAAAGATAGACATGTAGCGTCGCGGACTTTTTTTTAGATCATCTAAAGGGGAATCATTCTTTCATACACAATTTTTAGGTATCTTGAACCATTTTCGCAGCGTACGCATCTGAAACCTACAGAGATGAAAAATTTCCCTCGTTTTGTTCACATTTCTCGCTGTATCTTCGCTCCTATTAGTCACATCGCACTGTGTTATAGCCTATAACCTTCCTCAATAAATACTCTAACCAACACAAAAATAATTTTCAAATTCGAACCTTTACTTCCTGAGATTAGCGCGTTCAAACAAACAAACAAACTCTTCAGCTTTATATATTATTATAGATTATAACCCCAGGTTTAGCCCTTATACTAGAAAATGTCGGGTCTTAATAAACATATACACTGATGTCGTTCGAGTTTAAAACCGTTAAACGTGTTTTATTTTTTTGTGCACTTGCGGAAAGTATTAAATTTAAGAAATACACATTTCAAGGTTCAGTTCTATCGCATTAATTCAGGAAGACACTCAAAGCAATTATAACTTCCTCTGCGTTGAAGGTTAGTGATATCTTTTCTTGGTAAATTAACATTAGAGGAATTAACTGCTTATATTTCCCACTTAAGATTATAAATGAGGCGTTACGCTGTGGCCGTGTGTGACTCAAATGGCACGACATTTATATATAATAATACGTGTAATATGTGATTAATTGTTGGCCGATTTGCGATATTTCGTAACGATACAGCTGAAGCAACAAACACGTCGTATAGAAGTGTACAAGAGGCAAGAGGCGCACGTACTCGCAACCGGATTACCTTTAACCGAGTTTCATAACACAATTCCTTTCGCTCGCCAGTTTGTACTTTATGCGCGCGTAAATTGTAAATTTTTTTTTTTCATATGTGTTTACAAATTATCCTCCTTTCAATTGACGAGGAAGCTTTAGGTATAGTCAAATTGTTATTGTTTGATAGGCGCACTATCGACAATCACTGTGATTATAATTATAGTGATTATTACTAATTTCATTTAATATTCTTTCGCGTAATTTCCAAATATTTGACAAGATAACGGCGCGTTCTTTTCTTGTTCACGTTTTTGTTTTGTCATAAAAGTATACAATAAGCTTTATTTCGTTAATATAGCACAATATGATTGACAATAGTAAAGTAATTCTAAAGTACTAATGGTCTTCCTAAAATAATTAAAATCTAGATTTATAGACCTCTACTTTCTCTCGATCTGATTGCAGACATATCGCTCGAAGATCGCCTGGAGAGAAGTGGGTCAAAAAATAGCAATACCTTACCTTAATTATAATACACTTGTTGTCGTAGCAATGTCGTAGGGTCGATATACACTGGTTCCATTATGTTTCTAATAAATTTATAAAATAAATGGGTTATAGGCATATCGAAAAAGTTTAAGTTAAAATTTAAGTTACCGATCTAGAGTTGTAAAGTTAACGTTAAGTTATAACATTCTAAACAATGTTACAACTTAACATAGACCTCCATTTACTACACCTTACAATTGAACTATTAACTCACAATTGTGTCGTTTCATTAATTATTCAAGTATTAATTAAATGCCCGTTACGATTTTGCATTGTCTAATTAGAAAGCTTAATTAAAATCTGCGTATTGGGTACGCTTCTACGAATTTGACAAGAAATTAATTTTGCAATTGCATCACGGAATTATGCAAAACGCAAACTCAGTTTTGCAATGACGCATATGTGAAACTATTTTTTATTAAATCAAAATACATTTAAATGTTGTTTTATTACGTTATACAGATTTACCAGTCGATGTTATATTTCTTTTTTTTATTTGTATATCCAGTCTATCGTATTTGTATATACAGATCTATTATTCACTCAGATGTTTGTATAGTTGGTGTAAAAACTGCTTTACGTCACTTTACGTCTCATCTCATCATTCTAAAGGACGCTTGAACTCAGGTTTGATTAAAATCTCCAATCCATCGACACTTTAGCTCTGAATTCTGATGGACAGCTGTTAATGGCTTGTCAATTGTCATATCGTTTAAGTCCACAGAGGGTAGGGGTGCCATATAGCTCATTACAGGCATGTAGACGGTAATATAATAAATTAGGTTTCAACAGAGTGCACAGTAATATTTTTAATCATGAATAATTCCAAAAATAATATTAAAAGTATATAAATACAACGACAAGAAGATTTAGTACTTCGTCATCTTAAGATTAAATAAGTTATGAAAAATAAAACACTTTAACGGTTTAAAACGCGATATATTAGTTAAACTTATTTGAAAATGATTTTTAACTTCGGCCCGACGTTTGGATGCTTTGCAGCAGCCGTGGTCACGGGGAACTAAAGATGGAATTCTAGACTCAAAGTAAAGAATTGCTACGCTAGCGCCATCTGTTCCGTCGAATTGGTATTTGGCGAAACTGGCCGGGTCCTTACAGAATTGACTAACGGTGTCTTCGTTTGCTGGTATGCTGTTTAGGGATCCAATTTTTAATATGGGATCCAGGTGTTTGATATTTGAGCCTCCTCCTATTGAAATTTGGTTTTTTTGATTTCAATTGTTTCGCGTACCAATCTTGGAAAAAATCGACTCTCCTTTGCGAGGATTTTTGTTGTAGGAATGTATATTGGCTATATTTATACCAATTTGGAGAGACTTAGTTTTATATCCGCGACTTTCTTTAATTCTGTTTGAATCTACTTGTTTGCCGATGTATAGGCCACAATCACAATCCAGTCTGTAAACCCTGCATCTTGTAAAGGGATATACACTTGCTTGTTTCAGAATTTAATCTTTTGTGGCTTGAAAATTGTGTCAATAGAACTCGATTTAGGACTCTGCTAATTCTACTGTAACTCCCTTCAATTGTAGTAGGGGCTGAGTTTGACTGTGGGTGGCTTGTTCCTGTTCCTGGATCTGCGGAGGGACTCTAGCTTTTCTTCATAGGACCTGCTTGACATCTGTAATCCTCATTTAAGTGGGCACATCACAGAGACGGCGGGCTCTCTGAAACAAAGATACTCCGACAGAACTAAGTTGGCTGGGGTGGTGATGTGAGTCACCTACATCGGCCAAACAAAGCGTAGCATCTCAAACAGAATTAAAGAACACGTCGCGGATATAAAACATAAACGTCTCTCCAAATCTGCGGTATGCCAACACTCATCAGAAGGGCCCAATCACTACATTCCTTTGACCAACCAAAAATCCTCAAAGGAGAGTCGATTTTTTAAATTGTACGCGAAGAATTGAAATCAAAAAACACCGAAATTTCAATAGGGAGGACGGCTCAACTATCAAACACCTGGGATCCCATATTAAAAACTCTGGATCCCAATAAACACATACCACAACGGAAGACACCGTTATCAATTCTGTAAGGACCCCCAGTTTCGCCAAATACCAACTTGACGGAACAATGGTAGCGTAGAATTCTTTACTTTGACGTCTGAACATCCTCCATCTTTATCTCCCGTAAGGCTGTGCAAAATGAAATCGCCAAGTTAAAAATCATTTTCAAATAATTTAACTAATATATTTTTAAACTTAAGTGTTTTATTTAAATGTTACTACTCGGTAAACTATAGACAGTATTTGTTATGAAAACGTTTTTACCGAAATGTGTTTAGGTGGGGTATTTAATATAATAAGATAAGTTATATACACACGTAATAATATTAAATAGGTATTGTGGTAGGAAATAGAGACTGTTAAAAATACAACTGTTATTGGTATGCTTCTAGGTGTTTAATAGGCAATTTTATAAAAAAAAAATATCACGCATATCCTTGTACGGTTTTTATATATTTAGCATATCATTGATCGAAGAATTCTTCGAGCAATCGAGGAGTCAACATCTCCTGATGATGCCGTCCACACGTGATGGCGAAACGTCGAGAACCTCTTCTCGCTCACATCGGCCGAACAGCCCGAAAGACAATGATATGCTGAACGATGGCCGTGATAGCCTTACACAATTTATTTTATATATTTAGTTATTTCAAAATAACCTATTAAAAATAAATTTAATCCGACAAAAAAATCTCACTGTGTTTCAACCAATCACTGTTTAAAAATTGAGTATGTACATATAAAAATTAAATCCTTCGACTCTGTGAATAATGACACTTACGTGAAGGCGATAAGGCTTAAACTTCTTTGCTTATCAGTACTCAGACGGAGAATTAATTATAATAATATTAATATTATTCTTAAAACAAAAAAAAATAATTCTCAGACAAGGTTAATATTTGATAAGAAGTTCCCGCGAATAGTATTATTTTCTGGTATTTTAAATGCTATTATGTATCATTTGTTTTGTTTGCGATAAAAAAGTTATCACGCCCTTTTATCGGTAATAATGATTCCAGCAAATGCCATGTTATGAGATTACTACTATAAATAACATGTTATTCTGTATTAGTCATTTTTTATTGTTTTTGCGGTCTTAGTGTACTGATATTAAACTAATTCAAATATTAAATCGTTCGATAATACAGTTTTGTGATTTTTCTTGTGGTGTTCTTCTCTAAACATACAAGATGCCTAGAACCGAGTTGGAGGGCAACAACCTTATTGCGAGATTGGGGAAACGTTCAAAATATATTATAACATATAACAACTATATACCTCGTACACAGACTCTGGTAAGTGGTTGAAAAATTATTCATATAAAACCTATTGACTCTTAAGAATTTGAGTTTCTCTTATAACGTAAAAATATTATTTTACGTCTTAAGACGCGTTTTTTTAAGTTTTATAAATTAATATTCGTTAAAAATATTTTTCACTTTAAATTTATTGTTTTTAGTTTCATGTGTTAGTCTATTTTGTCGGGTCTTTCCCAAATGCAAAAACTAAAATAATCAATGGTTTGTCCATTGTTCTATAAAGGCGGTAGTTTAAGGAATACTTGCAGGTAATTCATAGTTTTGGAATTCCCAGTTTCCTTTATAGCAGCGTGGGGGACATTTATTGTAATGCATCTAATATTAGTCGTAAACTACACAATACATATGTAGGTACATGAAAAATAAATTTATAAATAAGGAATTTTGAGATGGGAAATGTTTATAATGTTTAAATAAAACACTTTAACGGTTTAAAACGCGATATATTAGTTAAACTTATTTGAAAATGATTTTTAACTTCGGCCCGACGTTTGGATGCTTTGCAGCAGCCGTGGTCAGGGGAGACGTCTGTGCAAAGCATCCGAAACGTCGGCGAAGTTAAAAATCATTTTCAAATAAGTTTAACTAATATATCGCGTTTTAAACCGTTAAAGTGTTTTATTTAAATGTTACTACTCGCTAAACTATAACATTTTATAATGTAATAAAATTAGTTACGGTTTAATTAATAACAAAGCACAGAAGCATAGTCAACTTTTCAGTGTCCAGGTTAGTTTTTTTGTGAAAAGCATTAATAAAACCATTAGCATGCAGTACTAGAAATATCCTACGTTGAATAGTTTCGCCTGCAGCTGTTCGATTCTGCATTATGGCCAAACATTATGAGTGACATGACATTGGCATCTTCCTACTGGCAACCAGTTGCTCATATTTGTTTCTTAGAACATAATGTATTTGAAGATATGATAACTCGGCTTATAAATGGAAGATTGAAGTTGATTTTTACAAAAATACTCCGAAAAAGTCTTGTCTATTCTCTATTAATTACACGTGTACTTAAAGAAAACCTAAAGAACTCTGTCCTTTTTTAAACTGATGGTGTGAATGCCTAATGCACATCTACCTATGCCTAATTCAAACTGTAAAGTTAAAAGACACAGTATAAAGTAATTCTTATAACAAAAAATAGTTTCTTATTGGAATAACTCTCGGTTCAGAGAACTCATTGGTAATCGTACAATAATTAGTTTTGACGTCACTCCTTTTGTTCAATTTCCTTTTAAATCGGATTTCTTGTATGTAATCGATAAGAGCATTTGACATGTTTCACTGAATCTGGAGCGGTAAATGGATTATAGTTACAGCATGTGAGTACTGTTCAGGTAGAGATAATTTTTGTTTCTATGTTAACGGAATGAATCGGTATTTTCTTTCACTTGACTTTATATAAATTGTGCGATACACCAAAATTAACACACACAGAATTGATGAGTAATACATTTTGCCTTTTAGTTTAAAGTATTTCATTTAAAACATCTTCCTTTTTTTCAACTTAAACTTCGATGATATGCAGAATGTTTTCAAGTGGAATTTACCAATATTTTGTGTGCCTTATGAAATATTACAATACCTTTTTTCATATTTTAATCTTTTATCATATTATAATTTATTTTGATTATTATAGCTTTATTATTTTTATATTACACACGACAGAAAAAAAAACATATTAATGAGGTAAAAACCTTACGTAGGTACTTATAAATAAAAGGCGGAAAATATAAATATTACATATTTATCACATAATAAATATAAAAAATATTAATGATAAACAAATTACATAAACACCAATGAATGTTCATTAGCAACTGTTCAAAGCTCCAATTTTGTTTCGACACAGAGCTTCCTTAGTTAGGAAACCACAACTGAGTTCCATTTTAAGACGACACACTGGAACCACACGTAGACAAACGATGGCTTCTGCTCTGATAATTACAAACTGTGGTTATAATGTTATAACAAAGTAATTAGGAACTAACCAACGGGTCTAACGCGGTACTAAGATTTCAGTTTATAAATTTTCTTAAACATGTTCGACTTCGTCTGGATATTAAATTGGTGTATTGGACTGGATATAATTGAAATATCGAAATTCCGCCTGCATCACGCCACCGTCCCCAAATGATAATCGTGTTTCTGTTTCCGAATGTCCAAAGCCAAAAGGACGCATCTTATGAAGATGTTATATGGGGTATCTCACCTCCCATCAAGTGGACCCTGGGGTTCACAAAAGTTATACAATTGTTTTAGTTATAGTACTAAAGTAGATAATCAGCTAGATAATGTTTAACCAGAATTCGAACACAGGGCTTCGTTGATTTATAGTAGCGCGTTTCCAACTAATCTGTATATCAGTGCAGGATCTTACCACGTCACTTACAAGCAAATATAAGTTTCTTGTAATCATTTATAGGCGTTTACAATAAAGGATTTCTTGGATTCCAGGGTGACGTACTCGACTGTCCGCTATGCCTGTCCACGTTCAGCGCATCGACCATGGTGAGGCTTGCCTGGTGCTCGCACCGATGTTGCGAGTCCTGCCTGCGACAGTACTTAGCTATAGAGATCTTCGAGGCGAGGGTGCCTGTCAACTGCCCCGTCTGTCACGAAAGCATGCATCCTTCTGGTGAGTACGTTCGATCTCGGGACAAAAAGCGATAAACGTTTTCGTCTATAATATTGTTATTTAATTTTAACTACTGCGATATACGTGATATATTTTTAGAGAAAATATATTTTAATACAATTAATTTGTAATTTCAACAAGTACGAATCTAAATACGTTATAACCTATATGCTTCCCGCTTTCCCCTGATGCTTTACCCACGTTAAAGAGCGACGTATCTGAGTTTTCATACATCATGAATATTACATAATATATACTTTACCAATTTATGTAGTAATCGGATTGTCAATTATTATGTTAACGTCGACATTAACTTGCTCTAATTTACGACGTACAAGGATCATTGGTCTAACTTGGCTCCAGTTCCTAACACCCGGTGCACAGTCTTGTCCTCAAACACTCCAGGATTCGGATGCATGATTCATAACAATCATGTTTTATGCATCGTTCAATCCGCGGTCCTGTATAAAATTCTGTTTATTTGAAATTCATCACGTTTATAGTGCTAGTCTTGATCGTTTTCCGTCGATATTTTTGCAAACAACTAAAGTTTTATTTTTAACCACTCAACGATTTCACGTCGTTTACGGAAATCTGTTCGGCGACATTTTGATTTGTTTATTGTTAAGTGTAGTCGCACTTAAAAAAACTACATAAGTACTGGTGGATAGCATCAAAGATATTGGATCCGTAAAGTAGTTATTTATTTGTAATGGCAACTGCGAATGAAGTCTATGTAGGTATTGTAGTGTTTATAACTGCGAAATAAATAGGAAGTTGGATTATCGGGTGTCAGGCGATAGCAATATACACTCAGCGTCATATTTTCTCAAGTAAACAACGAATCGAAGTACAAAATAATAGAATGTATAAACAAGCGGTATACGGGCAATAAATATTTGCGGTGCTCCGAATACATGATAGGCTCCTTGTGTCCACGGCGCATAAATCTTAAAACATTGATTCTCAGTGACGTACGTAACAAGAACAAAGTGCTTTTATCAACTCGTTAATTTGAAAATCAATAAAGCGCCTGCTCGCGATGTATCAATAATTTAATTTAATGCTTTATATGTAAGGCTTATTGGTTAGAATAGAAGATCTATTCTATGTATATTGTTGGTCAAATACAAGTTGATTAATCCTCGAGTAAAATATATACATTATATGCTACCTGTTCTAAAATCAAGGACTTTACACGAACAAGAAGAATTGATGGAAACTTATCATGAGTATCTTTATTTTACAAAGAGCCCAATGAAGTAGTAAACGTGAATCCTAAACTTCCAACTGAATAAAATGTATGTTACCTACTTATACTTCACGAAAGACAAATTAACGGTTTAACGAACTATATAAGTTTCATCATGTCGCGTTTTTAACCTTTAAAATTGTTTGTTTCAACTAATATTTAAAATCAAATTTGAGAATTACATAACTGACGTAATATAAATAAAAAAACTATATTCGTATTTATAATCATCTTGAATACATTAAGTTATGAGTTCAACTTCCTCGTAACTCTCTTATATTCGATTTCTTATTATAAACATTATTATAGCTATTGTACTATTGTTACTTATCTAAAACAACATTGTTCGACTCTCAATGAACACCTGCATATATTATTGTGTGAATTCTCTCATGTCCTTGCTATGAGATTTGAAATATCTCAGCGCCCCATTTAGATGTTATATGGCTGTTTTATTTTATATATTATGTTGTCGGATTATATATTGGCCCATTCGTATGTACAACCGACTGAGTGTCACTCCTCCCAAACTCTCAAAGCTTGGAAGTTAAAGAGTTTATTTTTGCAAACCTCCTCCTTATCTTTATGAATTTAAGTTGTTACTCGCGTCCCGTCGTTCTTGCGAGTTAATCTTAAAAGATAGACATTTACTGTCACGGCCATTTTTTAGATAATTTAAAGAGGAATCATTCTTTCATACATCGATTTTGGATATCTTGAACCTTTGGTCTAGCGTACGCAACGGAACTCTACAAGGACGAATACTTTCCCCCGTTTTCTTCACACTTTGTCCTCGCTCTATTTAGTCGCATTACCAAAAATAGCCTAGCATAGCCTTCCTCATTTTTGCGAATCTTTCAGTTTGCCCCAGTAGTTCCTGAAATTAACGCGTTCAAACAAACTCTTCAGCTTTATACATTAGTATAGATTCACGTCATTTTAAAAACCGCGTCTTTCTATAATAGAAATATGATTGAACGGTAAATTTATATTTTGCACAGACTTTGCTATCTGAGATTTTAATACGTGGAAATAGTGTCAATATTGTATGGAAATGAGTTGCCCGTTAGGTAAGGTAATCGATTTAGCGCGACATTAATTCTAGTTGTTTATGTAATTCGATGCGATCTAATTTTTAACAGGCCTTAAGAATTTTAAATATTCAAACATGACTTACTAATTACTAATTTCTGTTGATTACTCGTTGGTGCAAAGGTAGCGATGTGCGGTGACTTCGTTTCCCACCGGGTCCAATATTTCTCTAACTAGTTTATATTTTTTCTGAAACATGTTGGGTTTCGTCTGGTAATCTGTATATTAAATGGCTGGTAGGAATACCGAAATTCCGTACGGGTCACGTACCACAGTCCACAGATGAAAAAGCCGTAAAGTGTAATCGCGTTTCGTTTTCAGTCTGTAGATTTCCGAATATCCAAAGCGAAAATAGGGCAACAGCACATCTTGTTGAGATGCTATAGGCTGGGGTATTTCACCTTCCATCAAGTGAACTCCATGCATGACTGTCCTTCTCTATCCTAAAATAAACCTGCTGCTTTCAGGTTTCCCCTGCGTCACCAATGTTAATTAAATTTCACATTATGTTTTCAGACGTGAGGAGAATAGTGGACAACCAAGCCTTGTATGACAAATATGAAGAGTTCTCGGTGCGGAGAGCCCTTGCAGCTGACCCTGACACGAGGTGGTGTCCAGCACCTGATTGCAGGTGTGTTTACAAAACTTGTTTCTTATTTGTATGCAGTGTATTTTATGAGTTTAAAACAAACCGGAAAATAAGTACATAGCTCAAAAGGAAATCTAATACAGTGAAACCTGGTTAAGTGGGACCTAAATAAATTATTGAGAGGTGCAGTAAGGTCCCAGTTCTTTTTCACTAAATTATCTCTCTTAATCTCTCTTTTTAAACCAGGTTAAATGAGATTAATTCTAATACTTTTTTTTAACGTTTCCCTCTATAAGTGAGATAAATTATTCAGGTTTTAAAACGTTTGACATGTTTGTTTACACACATTTCGCGTCGTCTTTCGAGCATTCTTCGTCAGTGTGTAAAAAATGTGCAAACGTAAATAAAAAACGTTATCAATAAATAAAAAAAAACTTCTATCAGGTTATGATTAACATTTCCACTCCTGAAAATGGAATAATGACAAATATCGACCTCTGTAAATGAGACTGCTATTCTAAACCTTAATTGGAAAACTAGATTATTGGAAAGCTTCAATAATTGGTGAATATATCTTGATACCTTGAGATCACAATTACCCAGGTGTCACTATATATATAGTCAATTAGTTCCAAAATAACACGAACGTTTTTTTAATGGACATTGTTCTCTTACGAAATAGAACCTGCCCTTTGACCTGTCATGTAATGCCCCTAATAATTACTAAGGCATCGGCGTGCTTACGCGATTAATAAAGTAATCCTCGTTAATTCCTGTCCTCTGCTCGTTGACACCCAACTGTGTTCGGACAATTAAAACATGACGCATCGCTAGACTAATCCTTGTAAGCATTCAGCCTGTGTGGTGTTGGGACGTATACATTTTTTGACTAAGACCTGTTGATATGTTGATTCTTATTGTTTATCATCCATAGATGGAAAGCCGTAAGTCTAAATTGGTGTTTAATCTGTATGTATTCATATTCTAATTACTAAGTTCCCCCACCAAAATAACTTATCTATACTATTATAATATTATAACAACAAACAAACAAACTCTTCAGCTTTATATATATACAGCTGAAGAGTTTGTTTGTTCCGCACCAATATAACTTATCTATACTAATATAAATTAGGTGTTTGTTTGAACGTGCTAATCTCAGGGACTATTGGTTCTAATTGAACAAATTTTTTTTGTGTTGGGTAGAGCTTATATACACGCGATGTGATTAATAGAAGCGAAGAAAAGCGGGTAATGTTGAAAAAACGGGGTAAATTACTCATCATTATGAGTTTCCGCGTACGCTGCGACAACGGTAGTATGAAAATGAATAAAAGAACGATTCCTCTTTAAATACGCTATATGTCTATCTTATAAGATTAACTTGTAAGAACATCGTGGGCAAAGTTGATGCTCAAAATAACTATTCCACTCGGACGAAGTCGCTAACACAGCTAGTGTGATATAAAATCGAACTTTTTCGTAAGCCGGATTTAAAGTGGCCTAATTAAACTCCATCGTACAAATTACGAAATATTATACTTACAATTTCATACGTCGTCATGGTGCTAGAGGGTTGATTCTCTTGTCGAATTAAGCTTCTCTATTCTAAGCTCAAACGGCTTTCACGAAGTTTGGGTTATTTAAATAAAAAACACATTTTACATTGATCATAGACATTTTCAAATACAGAATGTCTTTTCAGCTTCGCGGTGGTGGCGACAGGTTGTGCGTCGTGCCCCAAGCTGACGTGTCTAGCGCCGGGTTGTGGGGCATCATTTTGCTACCACTGCAAAGCAGTTTGGCATCCGACGCAGACCTGTGACGCGGCGAGGCGAAGTCGCCAGCCTCCGCCTCGGGCACCCCAACCTATGCACCACGACATGGAGCATGGTACGTAAATAGAAAATGCCCTCCTTATAAGTCACTGTAACAATCCAAGTCAAATTACCTGAAAACCTGCGCTGATGAATGCTTGTCAGAATGGCAATATCTATCTATTATTGATTTTAAAATTTTATTTAGTAGTAACGTATGTTTTTAAAGAGCAATAAAAAGTATAGAATTTGAACTACTACTGTAAAAGTTGGCAAAAAAATGGCAATATGTATTTCATTTCCATCGTAAATTTTATTTTTCTAGCAATAGTTTTTATTATATATGGTTTGCTCAAATAAAATAAAACATGTTCGATAAGTAATACGTTGATATGATACTTCAGGTGAAGTCAAGCCTTGCCCCCGATGTTCAGTGCTGATCGTGAAAGTCGAAGATGGCTCTTGCAACCACATGGTGTGCTGTGTTTGTGGGGCTGAGTTCTGCTGGCTTTGTATGAAGGAAGTCTCCGACTTACACTATCTTAGGTATGTGCCATTTTTAACCACATATTGCTTTAAATTCCTTTTAGTTCTTTTTTAAACTTTATTATTATAACACACCACAAAAATCGCGTACTAACTTATAAATAAAAGGCGGCCTTTTCGTCTCCCTTTTTGGTAAGCTGAAGTACGGGGGAAAAGAAATAGAAAAATATTATTTTCTCTCTACAAAAAAAAGTTCTCGTTTTATTTATTTTATGTTTGTGTAGATTATAGATTTATATGGACTTTTGTTATTTTAGTCCAAGCGGTTGTACGTTCTGGGGCAAAAAGCCATGGTCACGAAAGAAGAAACTTCTCTGGCAACTTGGTACTCTAGCCGGCGCGCCACTGGGTATAGCTGTAGTGGCTGGAGTTGCGTTACCAGCTTTGCTGGTTGGTCTACCTCTTTGGGCCGGTCGAAGGGCTCATAGGCGACTCCGGAAGGCTAAACCAGCGCGACGTAGAGCTGCTGTAGCTGCTGCTGTGGCCGCTGCGGTAAGCACTCTATACATAAATTAAATTACACTACAGAGAATTTTTTCTACTTGTTTTATTTGTGCTTCGAAATTAGTTTCAGTTTATAAAAATCTAAGTAAATATTATTAGCAAAAATACGTTTCTGGTCCTTCGAGTCAGACGGCATTTCCCATTTATTTTTCAGCTAGTAATATCGCCGTTAGTAGCAGGCCTAGCTGTCGGTATCGGGGTACCCATACTGTTGTTTTATGTGTACGGCGTGGTTCCTGTATCGCTGTGTCGCGCTGGGGGCTGTGCGGCTGCACCACCACACGCGGAAGACGAAAGAGAACACGCTTTAGACATAGATGCCTACTCGCGCCGCTTAGAGCCCAGTATAGGTTAGTTTTGACTATTGTTATTATTGTATATCAATCAGTTGTTTTTCTAACTATAAGTAGTGCCATATAATATACAAATGATGATTTCTGTACCTGTACTGGAATCTTTTAACGATCTGTACTAATATAATAAAGATATAGTTTGTTCTACTGCTAGACTACCGGTTCGGAGTAATTATCGAGAAAGGCAAAACATCAAGCCGCGATAAATAGAAGCGAAAAAACAGTGGGAAATGTGGAAAAAACGGGGAAGTATTAATCATTGAGGTCTCCGTTGCGTGCGTTGCAAAATAACCAAAAGTTATATATGAAAGAAGTATATTTTTTAAATAATCTTACAAAAGTGTCCGCGACAGCCTATGTAGTAGTCTATATTTTAAGATTAACCCACAAGAAAGTTTTTTTTGAAATGGAAATTTTGATGAAAATAGTTCATATGACGAAATAAAGTTTCCTAAGTCGGCCAGTTTTTTCTATAAAACTACAACTCGAAGCACTCGTACTTTAATTACCTAAAAAATAAAAAACAATTAGGTGTACAGTAGTTTAAAGTATACTTATCCACACATTTCAGGTGACGCATCGCTATCCGCCGGATCTCAGCACGCGGAGGTACGCGCGCCCTCTCTAGCGGGCCTAGCTGGCTCGCTTGCCTCGCACGATACGCACTCGCCGGCCGCTCACCGCCTCGAAGTGACCGCCGATGTTGCGGCGTCCGACAACACCAGCGCTGCCAGCTGGCCCGACGACCTGCCCTCTACCTCAACTCGCTCAGCGGCCAGGCTCAGAAGCCTATTCCTTTACGGCTCAGCTGTCCCCCCCAACGATCTAGAAGCTGGCACTTCCACAGTTAACACGCCACCGGTGAAAATAGAAATGACAACGACGTGTGAAACTAAACCTAATTCTCCAGCGCCGGGCGACTCGTAACGAATCGTCCGGCGCCGCAGAGCACTGAATGTGTAATGAAACAGACAGTCGCAATAGCTTAGAGCTCTGCCTTGTATCGACGTCAACTTATTGGACTCCGTCGATATTCTATCGTATGACAATAGTTATGATATAGTCTGGCAACGAGGATTAAGTGTGTGACCAGTGAAGGTATAAGTCATTTATCTCAAAAGCAGTCGTTTGCTGTCGTGTACTCGATAACTTAGAAACATTGCAGCAGTAAATTTTGTGGTGGTAACATTTTTTTTCCGCGAGTTTTAGGGGAAATCTTGCCCTTAAGACTTAAAACAATAATAATTTGTCATAATTATACATAATAGGTTTTCAAATTTCAATTTCAAATGATTTTTTGAAATATTTATAGTAGTAAACTTTGTGATTTGGCTAAATAATAATTAAAAAAAACTTAAAACAATTCGGTTACAACCTGTTACCGTCCTTTTACTTAAGATACGATGTTATTCCCTGTAGGAGATAAGGGAAAGTGTAAATATGTGATTATCTAAACGAAGTCGTACTAAGTCAAATTTATGTTATAATTAACCACGTTGGGAGACATTCACCACGTTATGATCGATTATCATTTAAATCGATTGGGACAATTGTAAAGATAGTTAATACCTCAAATAATATCGTAACTTCATATCACTTTTTATGTGAATAAATTGTAAACTTTCCGTGACATTTAAACATCTAATCCAATATGTGTCATTTTATAATTTCTACCATTTATCCTTCTTCAGTTAGTCTCTTTACTTGCTATCTTTTATTAGGAATTCAAAAATCTTATATTAATATTTTTTGTTATCCCTTTTAATTTCATTTCATGTTAGAATTATGAAAACTCTAGTGTTATAAAATCTTGGTCAACCCAATGTCTATGGACAAAGATAGCGGCCAACAATAGATGCTTCGCGCTTGCAGTGCAGTTGTATCTGATATTATTGTGATACTGTGAATAATAATTACGAGTAACGATCTAGATTATTTAATTTTTCACGTTTAAAAAAAACTAGTATCGTAAGCGATTATGATGTATCGTTAAGTAAAAAAATAATTAAATGGTAACTGATAAGTCTTCTTGGTGCCTTACTTTAAACCTTCCCCTCATTTTTTTTCAAACTTTAAAATTATAAGGACCTTAGAAAATAAAAATAATAACTATGTTTAAAAAGCTAACCTATTGTCTATCTAGGCAGATAACATTTTCTAAGATCAAATTAAATAAAATTAAAATATCACCTGTTTCTATATATAATTTATCACATATCGCTTATGCCTTACATAACACTTATAAATTAAAATATAACATATAATACATAGTGGAATCATTATTATTCATAATAATCTAATATTTTTTAGAATATATTTAACATTTGGCAACTTAATTATCTGGCTATTAAAGTCTTGTATATTAACAATTATTTGCTACTGTTACAATAGTTTTATTTTTATTAAAGCAACAGCTATCTGATTTAATTATATAATTTATTACTAGTAATTAGCATCATTAGAGATGAAGGCCAAAATCTTAATAGTCCATAATGTTTATCGTATTACATAATATCAAAAATAAAATTTGTGTAGAAATGAGCTACTAATATTAACAAAAATATGGTAAAACATGATTGCAATACAAAGCTTTTATACACAATAATTAACTCTGAAGTATACTCTATAGCTTATGCTATTGACCATTTTAATGTCAATAGTTTGAACATTTTTACATATTATATACATATATCAATTTTACTTCCCTTACATGACATCAGTATTACAGTTATAACATATAACCGGTTACAACGAAACTATCTGAAGTTAATAATATGCAGATACATTTACAAAAAAATATTATTCGTAGTCAAATTTAATAATTTTAATGTGAAACGTTTTTAACTGTGTACTACTCGCGTAAACTATAGACAGTATTTAATGTGAAACATTATAAATGTGGACAAGTAAAGGATATGTTAGGTAAAAAGTAATGTTTATATAGATAAAATTATGTCAATAATTGATTTAAGCTTAGACAAAGCACATAATGCATCAATATATGATTACAGGACATATTTATGTTATAATGCTCTTGTTTATACAATTCAAAATATTTACAGACTAGTGAATTGAACTCATTAATCAATAACTTAATAATGTAGCTATCATCTATGTTTTAATTCTTTCTTAGATTTTTCAGTTCCTTGAATCTTAATAAATCAATCCATATTTAAGACTTCACGCTCTAAAAAATAGCACCTAACATGATCAAGCCAAACTGATTGACGAGTTGCTTCTTCCTTTCCATGTGAACCATAAAGATACGGAATTATAAATAAATGTAATTTCAAGCTAAGCAATACTTAACAATAATCATGACATATAATATACAAATAACTATTATATGGAAAAGGGACTGTTCAATTATAATGTAAGCAAATGTATGACGATCATTAACCTCAGAAATCTTTCAAATTGTGCTTACATAACACTTGGACGGCCCTAGGTGGTAGTTTAACGAGCCAGAGAACACTTATACTTAATATAACTGCAACTCATATGTAGTAGATCCATCCCTCCAAGTAGGCTCATCTGCTACTTTAGCCCGGCAGAGTGGACAAGTATGCTCCCGATCCAACCAGGCGGCTATACATAGCTCACAGAATATGTGACTGCAACCCAACCGAACTGGCGTGGTGTAATCGTCGTGACATATAGGGCACGAATCTCCAGCCGACACTAGTTGCTCGCCAGTTGGTTTTGTGCCCAAGTTCTGTAATTTTATTGAAAAAATGTAGATATCAAAGATTATAATAGATTCAAAACTCTATATATAATCTAGATTGTTGTTGTAGTTTTGTAATACATGAAAAAAAAATAAGAGTAAGAATTAAAGCACTCACCACACTTTGCAATAGTGTCCATGTTGCATTCTTGAAAAGCCGAAGCCTAACAATAACCTCAACTACTTTAGCAAACACATATACAGAAGTAAGGAACACACCGACCATCTTCTCCGAACCTTCGTAGGATTGCATCAAGAAGAATATCCATGGTTGGATGGTGATGAGGGCACGGTACAGTTGAGACACGGCCTCAGTAAATAAATATACTTTACCCTGAAATTTTGTAAGTCTTTTTATGAGGACAAGACAATTTAAAATATTGATTAATTACATATAAACATTTGTGTTTAATGTTTTATTCTTTAAACTATGACCACTCAGACTAAGTTTAGTAAGGAAAAAATCAAATAACAACTTTACTTTGAAATAAAACACACTTTGCAGCAGCCGTGGTCACTGGGAAGCTCTAAACTCGAAGCGTCGGGACGAAGTTAAAAATCATTTTCAAATAAGTTTAACTATATTTTAAACCGTTAATTTGTTTTATTCAAATATGTACTACTCGCGTAAAGTATAGACAGTATTTTACAACTTTACTTATAATAGTTCCCTACCATAGCCATGGTAACGATGTGATATGCCATCAAATACAGAATATTATGACATCATAATTTAGTCCTTAGGAATATTGAGTAAATTCAAATAGCATATTGTAATTAAGTCACAAACAAAAAGTGACTCACCCGTTTCTGATAAGGTAAAACAAAAGACGGCATCATTGTGACTACGATTTTTGTATCCACGGTTATAATCTTAACAATAATATCTGTTAACACAACCAGCCACATTAACTCCCACACATCTATAGGTTCAGTATATCCTGGGAACATAATGACATTGGGAAGAAGCCGTCCATGGCCAAATAGAAAGTGCACTATGACTATACAACTTGATGAGAATAACAGCTCGCTGAGTAGGGCTAGAAAGCTTCGATTCATTTGTTTTCCATGTTCTCTGAAATTCAAATACTCGTTTAAATTACTTTAACCTCAATTAAAATCTTAATCAAAGCATTTGTATGTAAAACCTCTTCCGTTTGCATTGTTAGACCACTAAAAAATAAAATATAAAGATAAGAAGTTAAAACTCAACATAGAAAAACCTATTAATGTTTGCCTTGAATGTATTGTTTGTGCGTTTATCAGGAAGACCATAAGTACTTAATTAAACTAAATTGCATAACTCGTGTCTCTTGTAACTCGTGCACTATTCATATTAGTCTAATCCTGCCTCCCTCGTTTGCAGCATGGTGTTTACATTACATTTTTGTGTCTGAGCAACAGCACCAATAAACATGTTGATCAAACTTCTATGTGACAATTTATTTTGTTTTTCCAGGACTTCATACACAGACAGTGTGCTTACTCATTAAACCAATAAAGCACAAGTCATATATGTATATTTTTTTATAAAGCCCCAATTTTTATTATGACTCACCTCCGAACAAGACTATCACTGTGAGAGAATGTGCACAGCAAGATTAGAAATGTGAAAATAGCTTCCCGACTATCATACAAGTATTTTATGAACAATATGAAGTAAAACGGGGCATATCGAAGCAGAAGATTTAATGTTCCGCGGACATCAACAACCTGAAATGGTATGATAACAGTTAAAAGTAGAATATTGTGAACAGTAAATATGATAAACGGTAAGAGAAGTTAATTGTGAAAAAATCAGTTACATACCTGCTGTGTTCCATCATCACTTTGACTGTCTTCAGCAGTATCATTAATGTTGTTATTATTGGCTGGATTCACTGAAATATTGATATCATCTGCATCTTGCTCCGATATATTTGAATCATTAGAAACACTATTATTCAAACTGTGGCTGGTTTGGGCCCTAGGTGCAGTTGATGGTGTCCCCCTATCTGTGACAATGTAGGTTTGAGCAGTGGGCCCTAGATTAACATGTGCTATGGAACTCTGAGGCCTCTGTGGTCCTTCACCAATCTGTTGAGTAGTTGGAGGGTTTCTTGGCAACCATGTTGGTAGAGATAGGCGAGCATTATTACCCTAAAATAATTTATTTATGGTTTGTCAATGTAAAATAGCTAATACATATTTAAAAATATAAATCAATGTATTGTAATTACCATTCTGGCATGTTCCACTAAGGGTCGAATTTCTCTAAACATGCTATTGAGTCTATCTCCTAGACCAATATTGGGTCGGTTAGCAGCCAGGGGTCTATTAACAGAATCCATCCTGGTTAGGGCGCCCAACCGAGGAGAATTATCTTCTGCCTCCTCTTCACCCATGTCAAGGTTCACTTGATTGCTTTGAGCCATCGTTGATTAACTCACTTTACAATATTCATATCGAAGAAAATAATGTCATAGTTATGGTAACAAGAAATTACTTAAATGTGTAGCTTATTGTAAACGTATATTTATGAAATATGAAGGTCAATAATTTATAAGTTCCGAACAGTCTGCTTTTGCAATATTTTACTTGTTAGCTTGACTTATGACAAGATGTGACATATCGTTGACACATGACTGATCGACTTTTCTCTCCTTAGTTGTCAATTTAGATTTTTTGTAGTCATGTTCAACAGAGTAGGGTTTTCTTTTTAGGTTTTTCGTCTATCATTATTTTTAGAACCTTCTGATGTTTAAATCAAAGAACATAATACTATTACTACGAGGCTTAAGTTGTCAGCGTCAAAAAACCGATTTTAGCTAAAATTTCATATTACTGACTTATTTGAAATCCCTACATTAAATTATTTCATGAAATGTTAGTTAGGTATACCGATGTACCGAACACACGGGCACTTTACCTTTCCACTTTTCGTTGAGTCAAAAGTCGTTTGATATGTTTAAATTAGTCGTTTATTAAATAAATAATAAAGAAAAAGACATATTCATATGTTGTTTTTTCCATACAATGAGCAATCACTGTTTCAATGTCTTATAATACGTAAACGCCAATTACTGCTAGTTGTATACTTAACTCACACAACGCCATTCTGATAAGTTTAAACTTTAATTCAGTCTTTGTTTAGGCATCACGCTATTGCTGATCCGGCAATAGGTATAATTAATATTATCGTTGTCCTTTACGACTGTATAAATAAGTATACACTATAATAAATAATATTACTAAATACATATATATATGTCGAAATAATAACAACCTATTTGAATGTAAATAACACGTTTCATGCAATTGGCACTTTCGACTCACGATTCCGATTCAGCTTTCAAGTCAAGTATTCCTTGAGCATAAAGATCTCTTACAGCTTCTAGAAGTCGTTGCTCGGCGCGCGGCTCCCCTAATGCAACATCTACACTTCCAGCGCAAAGCAAAAGCGCTCTAAGAGCCGCACGCGGCCAGTCTTGTTTCAAACTTCGCCTCACAATCTCTCCAGAAGAAGCCACACCCAGTCGTACACACTCTGCTTCTAAACGGTCTCCGTAGTCATCAATCAATGAATCTCCTATTGCTCGTCTCAATTCGGGCGTTAAAGACGAAAGAAGTAACAATGCCACATCATCCATAGGTCGGCCAAGAGATACCATTTGCCAATCGAGAGCAATGCACTCGTTTATACCGTCTCTCTCTCGGAAAAGAAGATTTCCACTCCAAAAATCTGCATGGGCTAGCGAAGCTGGTTCGGCGGGTTGAAGTAATGTACCGAGAAGAGAAGGCGCGCGAGCACTTAAAACCGAGACAGCCGCAGCTTCCTCAACACAGTCACTTCTGCCACGAAGAAAAGCTTCCAATTGAGGTAAACCTCTTCGCACTAAGCGCAAGTAACCAGCGGCAGCCCTTTCACATGGAAAAAGGAAGTCGAATCTTTGATCTAGTGGCCCTTCTCTATCGCGAAGTGCCAGTGACAACGCGTGGAGTCTAGCAGCGGCAAACAATGCTGCTCTAGCGCGATCTACCGACAACCCTTCTGCAAAATCAGCCGAATCAAAACCAACTGACGTCACGTCTTCCAAAACCAGCTCACTGTCACCGCCAATTTCATCTGTAAAGATAAGTTTCCTCGTTTCAACATTTTATTTTAATAATTAATCATCTCTCCTTGAAATACCACAACACATTCTAACCAATATTTCCTTATTATTTAAATAGGACTTGCAATAATAATAATATGAGTAAACATTGAGTGTGCCCTTGACGACATAATATAAAATAATATGTTTATCTGAAAACGTGGGTTTTAAGATTTCTAATAAGATAATTTTTGTGTGATTATGTAAATTTAATAACTAGAAAATCGCCTCATATATTTTTATATATATTTGTCAGTGTGTAAAATTACATTTAATTTTGTGTGGATTACCTGGTAATTTAGCTTTTACGCATCTTGGCACTGGCAAACATTCATCCGGTCCTAAAGCTTCTTGAGCCAATTTATTAAGGGCGGGCGCTAATTCCGTATAGAATAATATTTCTCTGGTATCGAATTGTGCTTCAGCTACAAAGAGCCGCCCAAAGGGATCTCTCGGTGGAAGTTTGACGACAAGAGGCAAAGAATGTCTTTCACCGTTACTTTCGTATCGAACTGTTACAGCTAGTACTCTACTCAACGCTCCAGCCACGCCTGCCCGAGACTCAACTCGAATCTGGAAATGACAAAGACCTTCAACACAAAAACGCCATTTAAGCGTGGTCTAACCTTTGTTGATTTGCTATAAAGATAATAATACCGAAAATTTTTATATTAAAAGCGTAATAAATAACTCCACCTCTTGAGGGTCAACCACACCCCAATCAACTAGCAGTTCCCGGGCCCATTCTTCCGTCAAAGAGGCCTCTGCTTCAGTCTCCGGACCAAACTCACAATCCGAATCTTCACTCCCACTGCTCGGGGCCTCAGAGGCCGCTGTACTATCGGGACCCCCTGCTTGCATTGTATATCCACAAAATACTTCACGAACGGAACATTATGAATGATTTTAAAATTATAAAGGCATTGGAGAGTGTTTTTCGCGGACGATTGAATTGAACACAGGCACGCCAGCTGCGCGCAGGCGCGTTCCTCCCTCAATTATTCATCGGGACTCCCATGCCGAGAACCGCTCAATGCCCGTCACATTTTACGTACTACATATATTACTAGATGTAGGTGTATGATGTCATATAAGTACGTCTTGGCGACACTTCAAAACATCACCTATTGATTTTGTTAATTAATACTTGCGTAAACATGACTTAAAATGTAAAAGGAAAAGATCAATATCGAAAGTAATATAACTTTACTCTGGCTATCTATATTGACCTATATCTATAGCTATATTGACTGTAATATGATTGAGGATAAAAAATGATTTAATTTTAATAAAGTTGGTTAATAAGGTTGAAAGTATACCCAACTTACAGCCCATCATCATAGGGTATGTAATTCAAAAGCAATCGTATGTAAAAAGTATCGATCTATTACTGAAATTTTAATTTAGGACGATTAATTTTATTTATTCTAAATAATGATGAAAACTGGTTTCTGATTCAATAGAAGTGTCGTGTGTGAAATTTTATATTACACTGTTTTATGGTAGATTTGTTTACCATATAACAATAAATAAACAAACATTTTCCATGAACCATTCTGAACACATAATAATTATATCTGAAATACAATGTTCTGTTATAATTTCAGCAATGATAATATATTCGCTCTACTATTCACAACTGCAAAGCAGTTTGCATTTGGCCTAGTTTTTATGTCAAGTATAAAACACTTCTGTTAACAGGTCGGTTGGAGGGTACATAATACTTTCAACGTTTTAAATTTAACGGAGAGCGAAAAACCTTTTTGTCGCATAAATGACTAGATTTTATATAAAAAAATAGTAACATATTTTACATACTTCTTTACTTTTTAATCAATTTATTTGACTCCTAATATTCCAAGGACTGAAAATATAAAAACATCAAATACCTACTAATACCATCACCAAACTTAAGCCTACAAAAGCTGCTCGAATAGACACCTACAATGAATATTCAAGACTGAGAACAATATAATATGTATCTATATTGTCTATGATATTTGGGTTGTTATTTTTTTTTATTTATTTACACACAAGTTTTACATATTTAATACACATCTGTTAAAACTGAAATCTATACAAACTAGTGATAGTGATAAAAAGACTTTCCCTATTTTAATCACAATAAACTTAAGGTCTATTTTCTTTGTCTTATAGACTTACTATATACTAAAAACTTAAAAAAAAGTATTTTCAGTATATCTAAAGAGTATGCGATACTAAAATAAGAATATGTGCTACTTGTGTAAGTGGATCTATATTTAATTTTTATTTTTAATGTGATCCCAATCTAGGGCATGCCTGTAGTAATAATCTGTCATCGTATAAAATCTCGTCATAGACTAATTTAAATATTATTATTTGACTTTGAAGTGCAGTGTAGTTTTAACTCGGTGGTTTCAACTGCAAGTATAATATCATTCCTCTTTTTTCAGTTATTTATATGTGATAAGATATTAATACTATTGTAAAGGCAGCAGTTGCTGAGTTAATTTTGCACATTTGCTTTCTCACATGTAATAATATTATTTCATAAAATAAATAGTTTCACATGTGCACGATTATACAATGCAAAATGTCTTGGCAATTTACAGAATGGGTAAAAAAAAGATGAAATCCAAAATAAGGGGATCGTCAGATACTTCTAGTAGCAGCTCTGAGTCGGAACAGGAAAAAGAAAAAAAGAAACTACGTAAGCTAAAGAAGAAATTGAGAAGGGAAAAGAAAAAAACAGAAAAAGCTTTAAAGAAAAAATTAAAGGAAGAAATAAAGAAGTTAAAAAAAGCTCGGCGTAGTTCTAGCCGAAGTGTAGAAGCAAGAAAAGATGAAATATCCACAGATATTCCTATTGGTATGTTGTATAACATGTTAAGATTATCCTGGTACACATTTTGTAGTAACTAAACCTTTCTTTGATTGTTTTATAAAATGTATGTAAATTGTCTAGAACTAATGGAGAAATCAAAAGCAATGGCACCAATGACAAAGGAGGAGTGGGAGAAAAAGCAAAGTGTTGTAAGGAGAGTCCTAGATGAGGATTCTGGAAGATACAGGTTATTCTATCTTTCTTATTTATTTCTCTATGAAAGTTGTATAACTGCTTTGCAGTATATTATTAAATACTCGGCAGAGTCTAATTCGTGTTTAATGCAAAAAATTGTGAGTTTGGTTTCTGGAAAAGCAAAAAAAATTCATTTAGTCATATAGAGGGCCATTTGATGCTGTCTCTCAGTGCTATCTTTGTTCCAGATTAATCAAAGGAGAAGGGGAGGTCTTAGAAGAAATTGTTTCCCAGGATAGACATAGACAGATAAACCGAGAAGCTACTATAGCTGATGGGAATTTCTTTCAGATGCAAAGTATTGAGAAACTAAAGTTTAAATAACAAAATTCTCTTATGTAACTTCTTAAATAACATGTTCCTTTATAAAATAAAGCTATATAAGTTTATTCATATGATAGTAGCCAAGATAAAGTAATTTTTCTAATAGTTTACTGGTTACCTTTATTAGTATGAGGACAATTTGCTAACTTTTAATTAGTCTCTAGTATAGCTCAATGTTTTCCTTGCACAATTCTATTAGTATCTTACAATAATAATTGATTCAATCCACTGACAAATTTGCTCTATGACTGTTAAAGCAACAACACCTCATAAATTATTTCTAGGTGATTTTTGTAATACAACAGTATACCTTTTGAGAACTTAGAACAACATTAAACAAGAAAACAACATCAGACACATTATTTATTACATTACATTTAAATATATTTATAGTTCTTCTTTGGCTTTTTCATTTGTTTCTTCATCTTTACTACCTTCATAAACTTTCTCATCTAAGTTTTTATATTGATAATCTTGATTCATGCCTGTAATTTCCACTTCTTGTGCATCTTCAGCACTTGTGAATTCTGGGACCTTGTTGTCTGTCTGCTTATCTTGTGTTTTTCTTTCTGTATACCCGGTGTCTGTTTCACTACTTTCAGAAGTATCTGCAGATTTTTCTCGTAGATGATCAGTAACTAAGGTAACAAGACTCTCAAAAGGTCTTCCTCCATTTTCGACACTTACTATTTCTTTATTCTTATATAGAATAAGAGTTGGCAAACCATTGATCTGAAAACAGGTAACATTTGGAAATATATTTTAAACATATCTAATCATCTAATGATCTTAAAAACTGTATAAGGCTTTCACACCCATCATTCAGCATATCATTGTTATTCAGGGTGAAGGTCGAGAACCTATTCTCGCTTACCTCGGCCAACCAGCCCCGCAAACAATGATATGCTAAGATTATCTGTTCAAAAAATACCTTTTCCATTTCACAAACTGTTTTTGATCTTACACAATCAACATCTGCTATCAAAACTCTGGATTCATTTTGGAATTTTTCACCCAATTTTATCCATAAGGGACTTAACTGCATACAGTGAGCACACCTAAAACATATTTTTATAATTTTACTCCAAGTTTAAAGTTACTGTATGCCTGCTTACGAATTAACAGGTATTCAATTAAACAACAAACATACAAAATTTGTAGATTTTGTTTATACTAAATACAAGCTGGGCAAATGCAGTATGCATAACAGATTTTACTTTAAACTTTTTGATAAAAATAATTTTATAAATATACATACCAAGGTGCAAAATAGTTGACAAATACTAGGTCCTTTTGTAAGAATGTCTCAAAAGTTTCTTCTGTAATTCTGGCAACAGGAAGGGCTTTCTTTTTTTTCATGAATTTTTCAGGATCATGGTTTTCCGTTAATAACATTTTCTCAACATACTCTGTAAGCTCTGCTAATGTGTACATTTCTATTGAAACACCCATCTGAAAATTTCTCAAGTAAAATATTCAAAGACATATAACAATATAATATTCACTTATAAAAATATTTCGTTAGACAATACTGTTTGTTTATAAATGACAAATACAGACTTACAATACGTCCATTGACTATCCACAATAGGTATGGATATTGCTTTATATCAAAGTTTTTACATGTCATTTCATTAAGCATACAGTTTACTTGCCCAATTTGTATATATTGATTGTGTGCATATTGGACTGCAAGTTCTGCCCATACAGGAGCCAATTTCTAAAACAAAAAATATAAATTAACATGTCAAATGTATTAAAACCCTTTTGACGCACTTCCTAGTATGTAACTATTCATAGGTATATAAATGCAATTGTATTTTTATACTTATGTCATCAGAACTTACTTGTGAAGCCTTACACCAAGGAGTAAAAAACATAATAAAATGTTGTCCATTAGATACGAACTTCTCTACATTGAAATCATTTAAATGTGCCATTCCACTGTATATTTTCACTTCTGACAATCCACCATCTGGTTTTTCCGGATGCTATAAAAATTGTTATAGCTAATAATAACTATTGGCATTATTATAAATTTAAAATTATTTGATTAATTTTAGCCTATTGTTCAATATTGTTGACATATTATGTTACTTACTTCTTCCTTCATAGAAAAAACTTCGCTTAGAAATAGAGTAAGTGATGGAAGGTCTCTGGTTCCTTTATATTCTATAGGAGTAAATGAATTCTTATGGAAATATAAAAGTGTGGGATATCCTGGAAGAAATATTTTTTACAATAATTGTAATTTTACTTTTTTTTATCTTTAACGAAATCAGAAATTCAAACCTGTTATATCATTATCATGACAAAGCTTAGAATATCTTGTACAATCCACTTGGGCAACTGCAAATTTGGAGTCTTTATTGTTAATAAGTTCGCCCAACTCTATCCAAATAGGTTCGAATTCAGTACAATGTCGACACCTAAAAAATAAGAGGTTTTGTTAGTTATTTTTAAACCGTCACGACATAATTTTTAATTAATATTAACTACACATACCAAGGCGCATAAAACATAACAAAATTGCCATCCATTTCCTTTATTTGCATTTTAAATACGTCGGGATCATATTCGTAAACAGAACCCGATACTGGTGCTACATTTTCAGGCAAGTACACTAAAAAAAAAGAAAGAAATGGCACAACCCAAGAAAACATTATAATATTCTTAAATTCTTTTATAAAGAAAACGTTGATTAAATATTTTCAATGGACTTTCAGTATACGCTCAAATATTTTCCGCGATTTTCACATTTTAAAATCTAATGAATATGTGAATATACAATACAGATCACAGACAGTTGACAGACCTTAAATACAATTACAAATTTAGTTTGTTGAATACGCTCAAGCCACAGACTAGTCTCTTAAGTATTAAAACGCAAATGTTATGTACAAATTACAATATATTCTTGTTAGTTGTTCAATAATACATATTTTAAACATTGACAAGATTATTTTTTCTTTTATCACCATGTTTTAAAATTACTTAAATTCATTCGACCTTAAATCGGTAACGATAAAAATCGTACATGTCATTTTGGCGTATCTTAAGCAACACACTATGGAATGTGGTAATTCTTCAAAATGGTCGCTTTGTATGGTTTGCCAACTTGCATGTCTGTGTTTTAGAGCCCTTTGTTTTCATTATATGATTAATTTTTAACAATATTTAAAACAGAAAGTGCTTTACCAACTAATGATATACGCATATGCTATCTTTCACTGGGCTGTTGTTATTTGTGTAGTGCTAGAAAGATGTCATCGGTAATGTGAGAGCACTAATAGAATTTTTGTTTTACGGGATTATGACGTCTAGGATTCTTATTTGGATTAACAACAACCAAAGAATAACAGGTATTCCTCGTTTTGTTTCTGGATTATTTTGCTACTAGTGAAGAAATTCTATGCTACAATGTCATTATTTTTAGTTCTCGAAATCAGAAAACCATTCTGTCATTTGTATCCATTGATTATTCTTAAAATTTTTGTTTACCTATATCAGTTAAAGTTGCTAGACAAGGCCCTGATTTCAAAATAAATAATGTATGTTCCTCTTAGATTCCAAGCTCAATGCTAAAGATACTGCTGAATAATTTATGTCAAATTTGTATATGATTTTTGTTTTCAGTTATTTGATTTATGAGACACTTAACAATGTTAAATTAGTGTAACATTGGGGAGAAAGTGTATCACTGTCGTGGAAATATATATCACATATTTATAGAGAACAGAAGCAAGTATGCGAACTGTAAGTGTTTATGTGCAAGGAGAGTTTGTGTAATGGGCGGGGTGGGGTGAGACGTGAGGCGCTCGGGCGCGGGCGCCATGAACCCGCCGGCGCCCGGCAAGCCGGCTACGCGCACCTCAGGGTACAACCAAAAAGCGCTAGCCGAGATCAGAAACTCTCTACTCCCGTTTGCTAATATTGGGAGTTTAGACCCACCCGGCTCATCTGCTGCTAGCACAGTGAGCTCCGGTGTCAGCTCTGGATTCAGTTCCTCTTCGGGCAATGGCCTAGATAAGGACTTAAATGTATTGCCACAATCATTAAATCAGCTTATTGCATTGGGTTATGATGAGGTACGTAATTACATATACCTAAATAAGCACTGTTCTATTTCAGTCTTAGATCTCTTTAAATCATGACGCTATATGTGTTAAACAAAGACTACAACTAGAACAAGACAATAGTAATCTATGTGGAACAAATAATAATACTTAGCTAGGTTATATTAATTAAATTATCTATTGAAACTCATTCTTAATAATGCAATGTGACATTTTTCTATGTCGTCAGAGAAGTGGTCTTTTGTTCTTATAATTACATAATTAAATATCCATTACAGAACACAAACTAATTAAAAGTCAAGCTGTTAGCATTTGTCAAATTTATGAAATGGAAATGACTGATACATAACTAAACTAAGCCGAATTAGGTTTCAGTAAGTTTTATATATATAATTTGCTTCAGGATCCTGCAGTAAAAGCATTAAAATATGCTGGTGGCCGATTTGATGCTGCACTTGATTATTTATCAAAAAAACAAGAACCCCTTAATGGTGTTTTAAAATCATCAAACTTAAGCGCACTAAACACAAAGCTCATTAGGAAGCCAAGTTTGGAAAGGGAAATAAATCGACATAGGGGAAGCCCTGCATTAGATTCAGGGGCAGGCAGCTCACGGTCCGATAGTCCTCGCCAGTCAGAAGGGCCACCTCTACCACATGAAAAATTAAGTAGGCAATATTCACCATCAGGATTTTCGGAACCTCCTCCTCCACCGCCTCCAAGATGTCCTTCAACGCCACCTGTACCGCCCTCAGTTCACCAGTACATGAAACGCATATCACCTGCCCCACCGTTGCCACCTGCAAGAGGCACAAGTCCAGTCGCTTCAGGGGCACCAGCCCCTTCATCGCGACAACCTATGATAGTTCAAAATGGGCCACAAGTTCAGCAGCAACTCTCACAACAGATACAAGCTTTAAGTATTTACCAAACTACAACAGAACTACCACCACCATATCCATTATCAGGTGTTCCTCCACCACCACCTTATTCAGTATCTATCCAAAATCGACAAAGCCCAACTCAATCTCAAGATTACAGAAAAAGTCCTTCTTCAGGGATATATTCAGGAGGCACATCAGCTGGGTCGCCGAGTCCTATTACTGTGACACAATCGACAGGCTCAGCTTCCGGCATGACTCGCCCTACGCCTATACAGGCGTGGACAGCGAGACAAGCAGTTCAACCTCCTATTATAATGCAATCAGTCAAGAGTACCCAAGTGCAGAAACCAGTTCTGCAGACGGCCATCGCACCCGTTGCACCTCCTGTTGCGAGTGCAGTAGTCCAACCTCCCCCGCCATCGTATGCTAGTTCAATACAGCAGAAACAAGCACAAACACCACCAAGTTACCCACTTGCCCCAAAGCCATCTTCACCTGGCTCTACTCCGCCTATACCGACTGCTACGACTCCAACAATCCCGACCACAGAACCTCCCAGCTATGCTATAACTATGCAAGCCTTAGCTGTACAACGAGGTATGAATCCTATTCCCCCACCTCCTTATGGCAATCAAATTGAAAACACCACTACTGTGAGTTCCCACCATTCACCTTTACACAAGAAATACTCAAACAATGATATACCGACTGAACTCAAATGCCATAATCAAACATGTAATCTGTTAAAAGACAGTGCATGTGGTTCAGATAAAAGTTCGAATGGTTCCGGACATCGTCGCTCTAAAGACCCAGAAAAAATACGACATCATTCTCCCATTCCCGAAAGAAAAAACATCAGTAAGGAAAAGGAGGATGAGAGAAGAGACTGTAAAGTTAGGAATTACTCTCCACAAGCATTCAAGTTCTTTATGGAGCAGCATGTTGAGAATATTCTGAAGTCTTATAAACAAAGAACCTATCGAAGGATGCAATTAGAAAAGGAAATGACCAAAATAGGCCTCAGTTCTGAAGCTCAGGATCAAATGAGGAAAATGCTATCACAGAAGGAATCGAATTATATTCGGTTAAAGCGTGCAAAAATGGATAAGTCTATGTTCACAAAAATAAAACCTATTGGTGTAGGTGCATTTGGGGAAGTAACGCTGGTGAGGAAAATTGATACTAGTCATCTCTATGCCATGAAAACGCTTCGGAAAGCCGATGTTTTGAAACGGAATCAAGTTGCGCATGTGAAAGCAGAAAGGGATATTCTTGCCGAAGCGGACAATGAGTGGGTTGTGAAGCTCTATTACAGTTTTCAAGACAAAGATAATCTGTATTTTGTCATGGACTATATTCCTGGTGGTGATTTGATGTCGTTGTTGATAAAACTAGGTATATTTGAGGAGAATTTGGCTAGGTTTTACATTGCGGAGTTGACGTGTGCTGTAGAAAGTGTACATAAAATGGGCTTTATTCATCGGGATATAAAGCCAGATAATATACTTATTGACCGTGATGGACATATCAAATTGACAGACTTTGGCTTATGTACAGGATTCCGGTGGACGCATAATTCTAAATATTATCAAAGAAATGGTAAGTTGCTTCTTTTTGCCATATTAAATGTTTTTGGACTACAAAATATTATGTACTGTAGTCAAAAGGAGTGACTCGATAATGACTAGATAATACAAATTCTTTACTAGTCTTTTCCTGAAGATTTTACTGACATTAAATTATACTTCATCATTATTATTTGGTGCTGTTGCTGTACAATTACACCTATACTTTTTATAAATATACTACAATTTACCAAAATAGATTTTTCATTTTAAATTAAAAAAAAAATTGAACGCCACTTTTTAGATCACGGACGACAAGACTCAATGGACCCAGTAGACGGCGAATGGGGTGCTATGGGAGAATGCCGTTGTCACCAACTTAAGCCTCTGGAAAGGCGGCGGAAGCGGGAGCACCAGCGATGCGAGGCGCACTCTCTCGTCGGGACCCCGAACTACATAGCGCCCGAAGTGCTGCAAAGAACTGGTTATACGCAACTATGCGACTGGTGGTCGGTGGGCGTCATCCTCTATGAGATGCTGGTTGGCTCACCGCCATTCTTAGCTGCCACTCCTGCTGAAACCCAACTTAAGGTATAGACAACTTTACTAATACTTGTTTTAGATCTAGGTATCTTGCAAATACCCTTAAATTTCTGATGTATAATAATTCAATTCGCCCTTGATTAACCACTCTCATCTATCCTTTTCAGGTGATAAATTGGGAAAGCACGCTGCATATACCAGATGCTGCCAATCTATCTCGTGAGAGCAAAGACCTTATCCTAAAACTTTGCTCTGGACAGGAGAAAAGGCTCGGCAAAGACGCCACAGAAGTGAAGAACCATCCTTTCCTCAAGGGTATTGATTTTGACAAGGGATTGAGAAGGCAAGTGGCCCCCTACATCCCTAGAATAGATTATCCCACGGACACGTCAAACTTTGATCCAATAGATCCAGATAAACTACGGAATTCTGGCAGCTCGGACTCAAACAAGTCTGACAGTGAACTATTAGATAATGGCAAGACTTTCCATGGTTTCTTCGAGTTCACATTTAGAAGGTTTTTTGATGATGGCTACACGAACAAAATAAACCTGGACGATAACGATAACCAGGGGCCTGTGTATGTTTAGTGATAGTAATCATTTATGCCCTCGAATTCTGAAAATGGACTTAGCATGTTGTTTGTTCCCTTTATAAACTGAGTTACATGGACTAAACGTACCGGGAACGGTTTAATACAACGTCATTGGTTAAGCCGTTAGAGGTCTGCTAGTGTTCTTGAAATTGAGTGGCGACATTAAGTTATTATGCCTCTATACTTGTAAACAAAGTATTTAATGATAATTAATTTTAACCGTATTGTTAATAATCCCGGTGATAATGTTGTAATATTGTATCGTTATGTATTTGTAAGAGTAATCTTATTATAATGTAATATATGTAACGGTTGGATCACAGTAGTACATAGTTACTATGGTGCTGTTAGCGTTCTACGAGATTGGCTGGACACACAACGAGATTGACTAGGCGGTAGCCTCAATAATATATGTAGAGCTAACTTTTAGGAATAAAATACTAAACACTTTCAAACAAAAATAGGAAATGCTGGCCTAACTTATATAGCTTTAGGCCTATATCAATCTAATTTTGTGTCCAGTTACATTCTTTGTATACTATTTTTGTAACTAGAGAAATTATATATGAGATAAGAACAAGCTTAAGTGAAAATCTATTCACTATATTTTCTTATGTATTTATCGAAGTAGGTTGCTTGTGTGTTTGTTTATATTATACTGGAGCCAATATAAGCATGTGATTGTAACTGTGACAAATTTATTCTACGTACGTAATTTACCAAAAAAACTGATCTTTTTAAAGTAAAAGAAATAAAATTTACTATGCTCTTTCTAGTATCAAAAAATTTTTAAAAAAATTATGAAGGCCTTTTAAAGTGGAATCTTTACGCAGTAGTCACAATAATCACATTCTTATATTGGTTTAAACATGGTACAAAATATAAGGTCTGCCACTTATGTAACTACAGGTCTAGCGAATACCCTTTAGAACTTTATCACTCTTTGAAAAAAGTAGATCTATAAGTAAACAGACGGAGGAATATTTTAATACGGTAACTTTCATTATCTGAGGTTTCTGCGAAAAATATCGGTACTAGTGCCATTAAAAATGTACATATCACTCGTAGTTCACAAGCAAAACTTACCTTATGTTGTACCATGGGCCGTGCATTAACTTATGAAGTCATTAATATAGCTGTCAATGTTAGGCATACATTTGTGCTTCCATTGTCTTCAAGAATAGCTCATACTGTGTGCCTTATAGGGCGTGGTCCCAGTTAACCCAGACAAAACAAAAATTATCGTTTTCTTACATAGTTAAACCATACAGAATTTGAACTTTAAAATTATCATTATTTCTCAACACATTTCTTGATTCATAGACATCGTTGATTAGGTTATTGGGATTGCGCCGCCTTATTCAGTGTAAACGTTTTTACCCTTATTTAAGGTATTTCAAATTAGAGTTACTAAACGTAGAACAGTTTCTAACAGAGCACTGTGGAGTGCAATAAATATTTATTAATACAAAATGACACTCAATCCTGTTGCTTAATTTGATGTTGAAATCGACTTATGTATGTTATTATGAGTTGTGAACATGAATCTCAATACTCTCATCTCACTATCATTCTAAAGTTCAAGTTAAATCTAATTTCAGCAACAATATACTAAAGTTTTGAACTCAGCGTCAATTGCGACGATAATTATAATTTCAAAGTAACTGCCTAGAACAAAGGAGGACCATTTAACACCTAAATATAAAAATCATTGCCACAAATCAATTGTACAGAGAATAAGTCACTTCAACTTTTAAATTATGTGTTATTGTGTACATTGTTTTATTTTTAAATGAAACATGCTTATAAGTAAAAGAAAAATAAAATATGGGAATTTTCGTTAATTTTTATTTTACAATTTGATGCACCGTTAATTTGAGAGGAGGAATTCTTGGACCCTTGTGTTAAAATCTGTGTGATAACGCATATGAATATTGTGGCTGCCCTTGGGATATAAGTAGATTCTGGAAAAAGCAATATATTGAAATAATCAGAAGTACTGTATGTAGAGACCAACTGGATTAAAAACAAATGGTGTACACGTAATGTGTTAAATATAAGGGTCGGGATAACAATACTTACTCGCAGTTCTTAATGTGCTTTTGCAAGTAATAGATATGCTCACGAGCTACAAGAGGATCTTTTTCACCCCACAATGCAAATGTCGGGCAAGCGATCTTCGGCAAAACCTTAGTACATATGTCACCATTTCGTATACGTGAAAATGTAGTCAAGGTGTCCACCCAATCGCTCCATAATTTTAGAAGAGTTTCTTCACCGTACATTTCAATCTTTTGGCGCCTCATTGCTTCTGACCATTGGGTAATATCTTTAAAAACTGGAAAGAGACGAAAGAGAGTTTTACTTTCGGGCTTTAAAGCTAATATTACAGGATGTCTCGAATTATATAATTATTAACTTAGTAAATTAGCTGGTAGGACAGAGGACTTATTTTCAAACTATAAACATCCTCGAACTACTGTTTTTCGGAATAATATAGATATCTTTTGATTTGACGTAGAAAAAATCAGTAATATATATGCGAATCATATTGAATTATCACAAAGAAAAATGTTGGGCGTGTCATCGAAACGAAGGTTCAGCAACTACTAGGGACTGTACTATAAGCATATAATCAAAGAATAAAAAATTAAAGATAGGCTACTAACTTACTACTGCTAAGTATGTAATAGCATTTCCCCAAACAGAATACATACAAACATGAAATGTCAATCAGTAACTAGATAGTTTGAAAACTATTATACTTCAAATGTTTTAACAAGGCAATAACAGGGTTAGAATGGTGGCACAAATCACTGTCAATGATGTCAATTTTTTTCAATCTAAATAGGTGTTTAATTTAAATAACTAGATTTGCCACTTAAATCTATAGGCTTGTAAAGCAAATGTAATATTGATTACCGGTTATTTAGATTATAATATAGATAAAGAAATAACGACTGTACTCCCAATTTACTTAAGTACCGCGAGAAAATTATACAAAAGTATGATTTAGGAGTATTTATGAGTAGATAAGATACGATATAAAACATCATATTAATATTTTAAGACTCGGATATAACAATTAATAACAAATATTTTATTTTCTCTTCACTAGCCCGATCAACGTTATTCAACGTTAACGCAAACAACGTAGTGGTGGACGTCTCAAATTAAATCTGTAAGAATTCGCCCGTATTTTTTTTCAGGTTCAGGTAGATAAATAAATAAATCAATTAAAAACAGCTAGAGTTATGTAATAATATTACCGACATTGATAATATTTTACTTCAGAGGGCAGTACGTAGGTTTGCGCTCCCCATACCACCAACTTTTGGGCAACATCTGGATGTGTAGCAGCAATATACATGCAGGGAACGACACCACCGCTCCATCCAAGTAGTGAGTACCTTGGTATCTTCAAATTCTTAAAAGTTATATTGAAATACATAATTTAATCCTTATTATAAAAATTACCGTTGCGAAGAGCCCCAATACAAAATTAATGGAGATATTAGTAGACAGCCCACTACGACGTACACCGGCCTTAATGTTAGTACATATTACAACTTAAGTAAGGGTTTAAATTAGGAAAAGCCGATTTTTATTGTTATTTACAGAGATTTTTGCATATTTTTTTTGGGTTCCGAATCCAGAGTTAATATAACTATGTCTTTAATGTTGTCAAAAACGCGATAGTTAGACAGTTATTTTCGCAAATTATTTCCTTTGCAGCTGCAACTATAAAAATTAAATATTCTTTATAAGGTTAGTTGGATTTTTATAGGATATAAATATAATATATATTTATAACAATGTACAAACACAAGAAATGCTAATTTTTTTCTTTTAATTATTTTTTAAGTTAGTTAGTTACTTAATGAGTACCAGCTTGCGATTGAATAACTGTACATCCGAGTTTACGTAAGATGTAATTATTGTCTGTTAAGAATAATATTTCCTTAGTAGCATAAAAAATAGGCAAAAAATTACTTTTACAAGTTACAAGGTAACTAACGAGTTATACCATCATAAGAGCGTGTGCAACGGTAGCGTCTATATCTTGATGATCCAGTGTATATTCTCGTTCAGGAGGCCTGCTCTTGCCGAAGCCTGGTGGGTCAAGAATTACAAGTGTGAACTTCTCCTTATTGAATTCATCTATTTGATAGCCAAAGTCCTCCCAAGAGCCGAGACTTCCTGGTATACATAAAACATGGTGTGGGCCGGAACCCACTTTTACGTAGTTTATATTGTATTTTCCTATGATCATCCTTTGCTCTTGCGGCTGAAATTTTATTTTTATTGGTGAACCGTATTAGCTTTATAAAGTACTAATACAATATGCTATGCTGCTTTTAGTCTAAACTTAATGTTTAGGGAATCGTTAGCGATAATGATAGTATTTATAATCCACTAGCTGTGGCCGCGACTTCGTCCGAGTAGAATAGTTATTTTGGGCATCAAAATTTGATTTTACAGAACACCTCATCTTTTTAAATTTTAACTGTTGCCGACGTCTTGTCGTTGTTTACGTCGTCCGTCGTTCTTGCAGGCTAATCTTTTAAGATTTTTTTTAGATCGTTATAGAGCAAACATTCTGTCATACATATTTTTTGGGTAGCGTTATCCTTCCACGATAAATATTCTCATCAGCACAAAAATAATTTTTCAATTCGACCCAGTACTTAGTTCTTGAGATTAGCGCGTTCAAACAAATAAACTTTTCAGCTTTATAATATTAATACAGAGACAAAAATTTGCATATGCGAGGTCAGAAAACAAGAGATAAACAATAAAGCTAACTTTTTATATCAACGTTTCCCTTTATACTATCATATAATTTGCTATTGCATAAAAAGTTTATTTGAATCGGTCATTTCAAAAACCACTTAAGTCAACATTTTTTCCAACATGCTTTTTTTTACAGAAAATGGTTTTTCAAAGGTAGATGTGTATTCTGGGTGAAAACAATTTAAGTCAATACATTCCTTCCTCTTTTAATAATACCGCGTGAAAGACAGTTCATTGCATAAACAACATTAGTCAGTGACTTAAGAGGTTTTTGCACGCACCACTAGATGGCAATTATGGGTTCACTGTTTCGGTATTAAGGATTTAAAAACAGGCAAATCGACATTTTACATGTTTCACGAAGGCATTGCTAACAAAAGAGCCAATGAGGTTTGTTCAATGTTGATGCATTATATCAAAAATAATATTGGGCCAAATATTAAGTATTTATATCTTTTTTCCGACGGCTGCCCTGGTCAAAATAAAAATAATACATTGTTGAGACTTATGTTGGCTTTGACTGACTCTAAAAGATTTGAAAAAGTTTATCAGTATTTTCCCATACGTGGTCATTCCTTCTTACCAAAATGACCGTGATTTTGGAGTCATAAAAAAAATGTCCGAAAGCATGATCGTATCTACGTCCCAAAAGAATACATTGATTTGGTTTCGAACTCCAGCTCAACATACAGCTAAAAACTGAAGATGTTTTAGAATATAAGAAATTGTGGCCAAATTTGTACAAAAATGTTTGTCAACTGAATCTTATGGAAAAAAGTCCCAAAGGACCAGAAAATGTCATTTGCCCCTTCGACATACATGAGTTTTTCATATGATTCAGATCGAAAAGGAACTACACATAGCCGAGGAATATATTGATGGATTGATTGAACATTCATTCTCATTATTAAAGAAAATAACCAACTTCTGTTTCACTTCCATCAACGAAAGCCTATAATTTGAAACTGCCCATCAATAAAAAAAATAGACGATTTAAAACTTGTTCAAGATAGCATTCCGGAAAAGCATATATGCCATTTTATAACAACATTTTTAGCTGGTCAACTCCAAATGTTGAAGATAATCCAGATGAGAATGATGGAGAATATGACTATTTACCATATAGATATTAAAACATGACAAATTAATACATGTGAATAAGATTATTTTTAAGTGTAATTCTTAATTACAAGCAATAAAAAATATGATTACTACAATTTTTTTGGTTAAGTTATATACCACTAAACCTATTTCTCGCTAAAACAACATAAATCAAGAACTGTTCATCAGGTTTTTTCATTATTTCTATTAATAAAGCGAAAAGATTATACGCTATTTTAATTTTTTACCACTCGATTACTAAATTAACCATAAAAAAAGTCCTTCAAAACTCATTTCTTTGTGTATGAAACAGTTTTAATTGATTTCTGAAAAATTATAATTTTGTGACTTATGAGGTTTTTGAAATGACCGATTCATTTGTATACTGCATTTTATAGATAATAATAAAACTAACTTACCTTACAATTAGTTGTAACGGTCCTGTTGCACATAATAATATTTCTAAAAACTCGCATTCGGAGTCCTAACATATTTTTAAATTTAAGATAACTTATTAAACAATGTGTTATTAAGCGCTAACGACAAGCCACTATAAATGTTTATAATGAAATGCGCTTGCGATCATTTCCTTGACTTAAAGAAAAAAATAGCGATGCTACTTTTATACCTATATATATAAATAAATATATATGCTTAAATACGCATCGGTATTTGTCAGAAATGTTTATATGATGATAACTGTTTAATAACTATTGTAGACTGTAAATTTTAAATGCGGCATAATGTTAATGTTGTTTGTGTATCATATAGATGTAGATACAAAGATACCGCTCTTTTATATTTAACAATAAAGTCGGTATTAAAGATGTATAATAGACTTTATATAGAGATATTTTACTTTACAGAACTTGAATGTTTTAACACTGAGTGATAAATAAGGTTTCTAGAAATTCTAGTCTCAGAACAGCAAATAAAAGGAAATGACCATGGTTTGATTTTTAATTATTTTATATTATACTTTGTAAATACAAAGTATAATAAATGATGATTACATATACAACATGCTATAATTCAACTATGAACTGATAACATAATATAAAAAATGTAACATCCTTAACATGAAGGTTACATTCATTTGAGTAAAAATTCCTGCACAATTTTGTTAAAGTCTTCAGCATAACGTATGTGTATATTATGCTTTCCTTCCGGGTATAAATGAATCCTGTCGATGAAATAATTAGAATAATTATTAATAATAATAACTGGAACTAAGTAAGATCCTATTACTTAGAATAATTAGTTTTACTTAGCCATAATAAAATGTTTAGTGCTTGTTTTGTGTTCTAAGTGTTAAGCGCGTTAGGTCCCATTGGGGTACAGCATAGAAAATGGATCACCTACGATTATTTATTTTTTTCTTTTCAAATCCTAATTAGATAGACAAGACAAATTTCTCAAATACAATAGAGAATTAATATAATGAAACTATCATGAATGGAATAAGTAGTCTAAAAATAAAAGGTACCTTGATCCGGTTATATGAGTATGTAAATGTGAAACATGTACCCCATCCACCAACGGATCCTTTTCTCCGTGCAGAATGAGTGTTGGAGTCTTAATATTTTTTAATAATTCTGAACAAACATCGCCATTTTTAGCTCTAAATAATTCCTCCATCGTTTCAACCCATTTTGTCCAATATTTTGTGAATTTTTCTTCACCATATAACTCAATCATAGGTTCCCTCATCTGTTTTGACCAAGTGCTCACATCCTTTATTTCTTAAATAAGGAAAGAAAATGTTAATTAACTAATCTTTTAAACATTTTCCTGTTGTAATCAGTAGACTATAGGTCAGCTAAATGTCAGTTCAACTTACCGTTACAAAGGTTCTATAATATATGTCTCATATAGATAAGTAAGCAAAAAGTGTTCCTAGCATGGGAGGGCGCTTCCATATTAATTTTATCTCATTGACACCTTTTATGTGTAGTTAGTAGGAGTAGAAGTAAGAGTAACATTTCTACTTTTGAGTATGGAACCTTAAAAACTAGTATTTTAGAGTGATTGTAAGAAGTATAATTGTATATATACATACTTTTATAAGCATCTAACTCTTTAGGCAATATAAACGAATTAGCACCCCAAATGACTAATTTGTTAACTGTATCAGGGTATTTTGCAGCAAGGATCATACTGGTAATGCCTCCATCACTCCATCCAAGTAATGAGTATCTTGGAATGTTTAGTTCCTAGAAAAATAATTATAATAAAATAAAGTGCATCTATCTATAGTTTAAGATTATCATAATCCCAAAAAAGTGAAGTAGTTAATAAACATTAACATTTAACAAATTAAAAATTGGTTTTAACATTGGATGTAAGAAATCTCAGTATCTTTTAAATTATAAAGTGTAAAAAGCTTAATAATATAATAATTGTGTTAACATTCTTCAGTCACTAGCAAGGCAAAATAATGGCAACTAAGTATTTACTGAATATAACCTTCATTAATTGGTAAGCAATGTCAGCATCTTTCTGGTAAAAGTCAATGCTAAATTCCCGTTCTGGTGTGCTTTTTCCATAGCCTGGTGGATCCCAAACAACAACACTAAACTGAGACCTGTCCAAACCATTTATCTGATGCTTGAAATCTGTCCATATTGATCCCAAAGCCCCGGGCGCGCATAGTATATTGTGAGGACCATTACCAACTTTAATAAAATTGATATTGTATTTTCCAACATTCACTGTCTGTTCCTACAATAAAACAGGAATCAACATTCGTAACCAAATACGTAGTTATAAGTTGTGATATTCGGTTTTCAAAATATTTAATAATCAGTTTTTGTTTCGCAAACATATCGCAATTCAAGCAAGATTTTCTTTAATTTTACCTTTAAAGAATGCGATGCGGTGGATAGCAAGATTCTTGAAGGTTTTCGTAAGATTTGTGCGTTATTTAAAATTTTAAGTAACATTTTTGTTACTTAAATTCGAGTGCTATAACAATTTCAAAATATTGCACCAAGCAATACTGATAAAGTTAGACGTAATTTATATTATGTAAATTTAAGATAGCAAATTCGGTGATACATACCTTTTATGTTTAATATAAATAAAAATAATCATTCACGTCATTTGAATCAACACTACCCTCTTTGAGTGGGATTTAAACTTTTTAACGATTCGAACATTTTTAATTATCTTGTTTTAAATAAAAATGTTGTTAATTACCAATGCAAATGCTGTTATACATTGATTTTAATAAGAGAGGCTTTATTTGCAAAATTATATGATATTCAAGTTATAAATGAATCCATGAAATTAAATTTAAAGTTTATCTGTGGTATTAGTGTGCTAAGTGCTTGACATGATTGCAGACATATAACATTATTATAAAAAAACATTTATGATACGAAGCAAATGATAAAAATCTTAAAGATGCGTTTTTTATTAGTGAAATAATGAAGGTAAAATTGTTTTCGTTCCGGTATGACAATTTTGTTCCGTTGTGTTGTTGGTCGTTAATATACCAGACCACAGATAAAAAAATTGTACTAAAGATGCCACTATAAGAAAAAATTAAGAATTAAGGCATTACTGACCTTCATAAATATCATCAAAAAGTAATATATAAACACGACTATTTATTTATCGACATGTGCGATTTATACTTAAACTAACCGCCGAGTACCTTTAACGAATATCTCACAATACCCATTTAAATAAAATTTACTTAGATTATTAAAATAAATGAAAAAAGTAGGTGAAAATATTAATATATTTTTATTATAACGCCGATTATAGGCCCTAGCGAACTAAAACTAGCATTAGAGTAAGATTAAAAGCAAAAAAACATTCTAATTGAATGAAGTTAAAATACATTTTTATGGATAAAATGTACGCGGATTTCCTTTTTAAGGGAGAACATTGTTATTTTAGGCTGAATTTCAATGAGGAATCTTTAACAAACTGTGCCATTATTACTCTGGTAAGGCAATGGACAATTTTTAAATATACTGGTATAACATTGAAATTTCATCAGATGTAAAAATTACAATAAGAAAAATAAAGTAGCTTTTTGTACAAACAGTGTAAAAATGCAGTGCGTTACTGTCGCGTACAAACTTTTTTGGATAAATACTGAAACACTTGTTTACATCAATACTGCATATCTTAAAGGGAAACATTATGTTTCAGTATTCGACCCTGTCACAGGATAATAATTATGTGATGTTATTTAGTCTAATTCCCCAGCGTTACATGCATCTTCGTAGGATTTGCCCTTCTGTTCTGGATCTAACTTAATCATGTCATCAATACGCAGAATGGTGATCGCGGCTTCAGTGGCGAATTTGAGGGACTTTATCTTGGATATAGCTGGTTCGAGAACGCCGGCAGCAAGATTGTCTCGTAATGCGCCCTCTGTGAGGTCCAAGCCAACCCATTTGAGATTTGCATGTTCAACCTGTACAGTATGTAATTATTAATTTTTATTTGAGAACAGTTTGAATTCTTTTAGTCAAAGTCATCAGTCTTATAAACTTTACCTTAGTCTGTGATGAATTGTGGTAGGCCCTAAGCTTAGCCACAAGATCTGTTGCATCCCTAGCTGCATTTACAGCAAGTGTCTTCGGAATTACAAGCAGTGACTGGGCAAAGGCAGCTATGGCTAACTGTTCGCGTGAGCTCTGAAAAATAAATTTTATTAGGTATTGTTTTTGCTCAGCTATAGTTATCGCAAATATATGTCACCAGGTGCTTACGGCAACTTCAGATGTTCCTAGAAGGTTTTTATAATTAAACTTATTTTTTTTTTTATTACTTACAAGCGTTGTAGCGAAGTTGTCCAGATAAATAGAAAGCGCCGCCTCTACAGCTCCACCACCTGGCACCAAGCGCCCAGACTCTAAGACCCGACGTACTGCACATAATGCGTCGTGGGCTGACCGTTCCATTTCATCGCAGTATGCGTCAGTTGGGCCACGAAGGATTATGGAAGCGGCTGTACGAGCGACTGGGCTGTAAGAATTTAAATAAAACAATTTATTTTTAACGCTAATATTCTATTAACTGCATACTTTTTGTAGATTTTATGTTTGGATGTCAATGAAAAACAGAGTCTAGTTTGTACGACCAATGTTGATGTTCTTAGCTGAACTAAACAATTGTAATACCTCAAGAGAACCTTTAATGCCTGCAAGAAGCCCTTCTTGTGGACCATCCACAAGAAGGGCAAAGAATCAATATTTTAATGCAGGGACATTAGCCATTAGGCGCATACGCCAATTATTATACTAGACGCACTAATCGGCAAGATCTCTTATAGTGTTATGGTCTCGGGGCATAGATGACGTAGTTTCCAAGAGTGTAAAACGCCATTCTTATAGTTATTTTAATTGTTACAGCTATAGACTACTCAAAATGTTTGGTTATGAGACTTTGAAAACTCACCCCTTTATTAAGATTAGTTGATCATCACAAATCTGTTCTTGCACAACTTCTGCAGCTTCACCAATCATACTTGCCTCAAAGACTTCCTCACCTGTGACACAATTATGTATTAAGTTTTTATTGGTACATAAAACATACTTATGTTTTGCACTGTCTGTATTACTTCTTTAGTAAATGTTTATGAATGAATACTGATGATGTTAATTTTATTAAATAAAGTTAAAATTACCTTCCATGTTAGTTAAAGATGTAAGGAAGGCAGCTCCAGTTGCCTTAGCAATCCTCTTTAAATCTGCCTTCTTACAACGTCTAACACCCATAGCACCAGCTTCTACAAAGTATTTCAGGCATAAATCATCAATTCCACCACTACAGAGGATGACATTCACTCCAGTAGCTAGAATTTTTTGAAGACGCTCCTTGGTAATGTCTAATTCACGTGCTCGAATAGCTTCAAGCTTTTCGGGGTCTGAGACAAGTACCTAAAAAAAAAAAATAGTAGAAACATATCATTATTGTTAACAATACAGGAGCTGAAGAAGCAATTTAATAGATAAGGAGTTATATTTATGCCTGTCAACCCAAGAAACAGTATGTCTTTCCAAACTCAGTAGATCTGAGAAACTAAATGGTAAATCAGATTTTTAATTAATAGCAAAGGAGCCTTTGGTGTCTGTCAGCATTGTTATTTACCTGAACTCCCATTTTCATCTTAGTCTTCTGTAGAGAAAAGTCAAGACAAGCGATTTTAGCATTCAGAATCTTCTTAGGCATAGCTTGAGAGGCAATAGTGCAGTTCAGTGCGTATCCCTTAACGAGAACACTCTCGCGGGCGCTGCGGCCGTGGGCCTTGAGAATGTTAACGGCTTTGATGGGGTATATGGGGTTGCCTTTAGGATCCAATGTCTTGACAGCCTGAGTTGCATCAACTACCATTTCAGAAAAGAATTCCGCATCACTGATCAAATGTTAAAGAAAATATTATGATGTTTTGAACATTACAGCTGAAGTAGTCATATATGTGTATGTATCACAAATATATAAATATCAAAGTAATAAAACACTATTTAATTTTTTTCCGTGTAAGCCAATGCAAAAGTGTGAAGAAGACAACACTATGGACATTGATATTTGCCATTCTACCCTAAAATACTTTGTGATAAGTAAATGAATTAAATGTAATTCTTAAAAAGGATACGCTCCAATAAGTTTAGAAGACATAGTTGTTTTGGCCGCATTTATCAGTGATGGTCTTCCTAAAGACTCAACTGTTACAGTTAGGTTGTCTTGAATGTACTTAACGGCTTCTTTACAGGCAAGACGGTACCCAGAAATAACACTTGTTGGATGAATTTTGTTTTTTACTAATTCATCTGCATTCTGTCAAAATAAAAATTGACACATTTATAATTATCATTTTCTGGAAAAATCTTTTTAAGGTTAGGTATTTATTTTATTTAACTTTTTAGTCAGTATTCTTAATAAATCTTATTTAATAATGTACTTTACCTTAAGCAACTCAGCGGCAATAATAACAACTGAGGTCGTTCCATCCCCCACTTCCTCATCTTGCAACTGAGCTAATTCCACAAGAACTCTAGCTGCTGGATGTTCAACTTCTAACATCCTAAGATGTTTTTTTAAGTTAATCAATAATTGTAGACAAAATTAAATGTTTGCAAGATCTATTAGATACCTTTATGTAACATAATTCTAACTTTTAATGGTTTAATCAATAAATAATAAATTAATTACATATGACAGATGCAAAAAAGTTTTATAAAAATATTGCCAATAACTTACTTAAGGATAGTAGCACCATCATTAGTAACGGTTACATCTCCAATATCATCCACGAGCATCTTGTCCAATCCAACAGGACCCAGGGAACTTTTTACTATATTTGCTATAGCAGCTGCCGCCATTACTGTGAAAGTTGTTTAAATTGAGAAGTTAAACTCATTTTCAAGTATTTGAAACAATACTTGAAACTACTCACTAATAAAGTTAGTAGTTAGTTCGTTATTATGTTTCGTACACATGATAGCTTATAAATAAATACAATAATGTCTTTTTAATAGAGACCAAATTATTTTTTCAACAGTTAGGTTATAGTATTTTAAGAAAACGAAAATGAAGGCTTTTTCAAGTTTTATAAGGCAAATAATCAAATTTTCCATAGTAAGTTAAACTTGAAAGTATTACATTGTAACTTTTTTCACGCTTTATCACAAAAATCTCGATTTTAAAAACCGTACTGCGAGTTGCATGTGATCTACCGGGCATTGTTCAATTGTTTATACTTTTACATACCATTTTGAGTTCGCACTGGGGCTCCTGAGTGTCTGGTTCCGGCGACGGATAAAGGAGCGGCTAAAGTCGACATTTTTGATTTATTTTATTCAATCGCAATTGTTTAATTTTTATAAATGGGTCCTTATTACCAAATTAAGCTACAAATGCTTCAAGGAATGACAATTGACAATAAACAAAATTTTGAATGATACCTAGAGATGTTGCCATTACTTTATAGTTTTTTTTTTAGAATATAGACTTAACAACATAGAGTATTGTAAACATCGATAAAGAATTAAAATGTGTGGAACAAATTTAAAAGTGCAGAGACTTTTTAAACAGTCTTTTGTCGATCGAACAGATCGAAATATGTTAAATTTATAAGTTTTTTTTTTACGAATAAAGTTTAAGCAACTTTAATCTTTTCTAATATTAGTAATAACGTCCGTAACGTATACCTATAATACAACTTGGACAGTTAGAATTAAATAATGTAAATGGCGAACGCCATTGGTTAAGCCTCAGTAAAAATAAATATATTACGTCTTAATTTATGGTTAAGTATAATACTTTGGATGTTTCAATTATATATTTTGAAAAAATAATGGAATTTAAACACATTTGACTAAATAGTAATTTATTTTAAAAGTCTTGTTTAAACTTTTACGCATTTGTTCACATTCTACAGATTTGATTTGATTATGTCCGACATTCGAACGGAATTTCAACCACACAGCCAACATTTTTCAGAATATTTATAAGTTGATTAAAAAAACTCAGATTCGGTGGGGGATTAAACTCACTACGATTATTGATGATACATTGTTATCATAAGACCAAAGCATTAGACCAACGTGCCCGTCAAATTTACTCTTTCCTTAGTACGGACAATAATAGTAAATTTACACTCTTTGGAGTTAAGACCAAGACATCATTTTATCATTGTAGAAGCATAACCATAAAACAAATTGTATAACTACATAAAGTTTATATATAATTTTCGATGTATATTTGCATAGCCCCGCATTATGTCGCATCTAATCTGGTTAGCCAGTAATACTCTGAACTTTTAGCAGTAGCAAAAACAAATTACCTAAACTGCGCATGAATCCAATTGAAGCACGCAAGCGCCCGAAGATTTCTTCTCGTCGTATCGTCGGCCGTCAGTCGCGCGTTGACTTTTCCCGCGCCAGTACTGCACTATTTTTCGGCTCACACTACCATCACACGATAAATGGCGCCGAAAGTGGGACTCCGGTGCTGCGGGTAAGTCACTATGCTTCCCGCTTCAAAATAATCCATAACACGGGTCCTCCGTGCCCATGCAGCATCCATGTGGGCGTGGCTAAAGTATGGATATCGAGCCGCCTGATAAGACACTGTCAACAAAGTCTAGCATTGTAATATTAAGTTAACTGGAAAATGGAGAGTCATCTATCTATTGATTTTCTTATAGGTGTTATGTGTAATACGTTTGTTAAAGAACGTTCTCAGCTCATAATGTAAGGTTGATTGGAAATCAGCAGTTTGCGAATTTAACCGATTACCATGCTGTCAGTTATTCTTAGATCAATCAAGGAGGGGTCTGAATGGATTCGTGTATAGGCAATCATATATTGTTTCGTAACTTTTTATTGTTATTTTCATATTTAAAAATGGTTTAACGGTTCCAAAATACAAGATTCACTTAATATTATCGTTATCGACAAAATAATTACTTGACCAAATGAAAATATTAAACGAATTAGAAAGTACACTTGTAGAAGATTCAAGTGCACTTCGCACTTGAATCTTCACTAAAGGCTCTGTAGATTTTGTCACAAATCATAGATAACTTAAATTTTATTAAAAAATGTTGTCAAAGAAAATTTTAACTATGTATATGTATACCATCAAATATAGAGCGATAATGTGGTAAAAACATTATTAATATAGTAAAACACGGTAAGCTGCAGTCGTGGTTCCAAATTTCCCTCTCGAAATTATTTTCCATCCAAAATGAAATTAAAAAGTAATTTAATCCACTGATATAACTTGACCTTGTAAACTCATTTTATAATGTTTTAACTAAAAGGTAAATACCGATAATTGAATAAAACATTATGTATTTTCGAATCCAATATAATGATTTGGTATTTAAAATATTCACTATTAGAAGCACTACAAACGCGTACTCGGTAACTATACATACTATGGGTCTATTTACAGGCATTAAATAGAAAAACACATAGTTCTTTACGAGCATGATGTTGTAAAAGACTTGGCAAATAACACTTATGTTTGTGATACTTGTATGTCTTGTATACACGACTGAGAGCCTAATTAAACTAGGCTTGTGTTTTTTAAAGGGAAGCCGCAATGAAACACTAATGATGAGGGTTCGCAATGTGCATACATTTGCGCAAACTAAAATGCATTAGCTTCTCTTTATTTTTTATCTAGTTTAGCGTCCGTTACTAAGAGATGGAATATAATAAAAGATATTGTATCGCGTGTAACGTGTAGATAACGTTTGTTATAGAACAACAATACAATAAGAAATATACATATTATGATTAAGATTATCGGCTGTGTTTTGGGCTGTAGTCAAGCACAATGCATGTACGTAGGTATCAAAATAATACTAATGAAAATTGCTGTATAGCTCCGTTTCATTGAATCCTAATTATTTTTTATGTTATAAAATCCATATATTACAAGAAACAGGGACAACAAGTAAAAAATATTTTTTACTATTGAGTCGTTAGTTCATATTGGAATACGTGAAGTCGATATCTAGATTCTTGTCACTGTAGTGTCACTACGATAACCTTTTATGCTGATCAAGCAGCTTAGAAATGGTTTGAAAGTGAGGGTTCTCGTATAAATTTTCGATAAACTCTAAGAACTGTTTTGTTGTTACAGGTAATCTAACAGTCAACACAATTACACATGCTGACGATATGGTGAGTTATGAAACACTGTAAACAAATTACATGTAAAATTTAGATGGACACGGAAACCCGCAGAATGTTAATATGTAACAATGCATTTTCTTTCTACAAAAAGTACAATGCATTGTCTGTAGTTTACGCCAGTAATAAACAAATAAATAAAACTATTTGTATAGTTTTAAACAGGAAATATATTAATTAACTTGCTTATTGGACGCTTTGCATCCGCCGTGGTCACGTGGGGAACAAGCGGTAGTTAAAATATTTATAAATAAGTTAAAGTAAAAAAAGTTAGTAATGGTTAATAAAGTAAACTAATATATTTCGCGTTTTAAATTGTTAATTTTACTTTAAATTATAAATAAATAAAAGCAACTTTATCTTTCGAGTTACTGAGGAAAGACAGGAATTAATCTTTGCGTTTAAGATACTACATTAGAGCTAGATCGCTTCCGGGATTGTAAGGTTTTCTGACTGTTCTTAAGATAAACAGAATCACAGAAAAATCGTAAGTTGTTTTAAAAAAAAATTGTATTAAATCGACATACACATATTAGAAAAAGCTGTACCGTACTTTTGAAGTAGATCATTAGATTATCTCTTGTTGTTGTTTCTGACACAAGAGAAGTCTAATGGATTCCACATCTTATTATTTAATTTCGTTTCTTCGTACATCCATGAACATAGGGAATGAATACGTTTAGTAATTTTTGATTCAGCGCCATCTATTGTACAGACGTTACATTACATAGAACTTAGCAGATGGCGCTGAATTATTCGCGCCCTAATTCTTTTCTGTGCCAATAGATGTACTTTTGTGCAACATTGTTTAGCCTGTTTCACGAAATTAAACATTTTCAAATAAAATCCTATTATAGTATCCTTAAAGTATAGTAGCCTTATATTAAGTTTTAGATGGATATTAAGGTAAACTTAAATGTTTACAGGATACAGTATGGCCGCGGCATATTGGCTCAACTCGCTCGGATGCCTCTTGCTGTCGCTACTATGTCTTCTCACTATTTCCCTGCAAGTCACAAGCGGTAAGTAGTTTAGCTGATTTATTGTCAAAACGGAAATCCCCCCAGTTGATTAATTTATAACAGCTAATAAAACCTAGCATGTACATTATTTTTTCAAAAATATAAACGCTTTCCCGAGAGGCTACGAGTAAGGAGAATCCTAATCTGACATTTATTGATTTGGTCTTGACTGAAGTGAATGATTCAAAGGACCAAAACCGCCAACTCGATATTTCTTAACATTTTAGAAGTTTGGTAATCAAGTTTTAACGCGGACGTGTTAAGAATTTTATTTATTTATTCATTGAAATATAGTTTAAGAGAAGACATAACTTCAAAGCATAAAAATATATTTTAAACTCTTTTAATTACGATTATACCAGTATTTACTTGAACTTAAATGAAACACTGCTTCCTAACATCGCTTATATAACTTAAGCACGGTGAGCCTTTAAATTAACTATAAGTATAGATATCTTTCTAGGGACCTCACATCCTTCGGGAAACTTCGTTCCTTTCTTTCGTACATTAAGGACCAGTATTGGCTATCCTTTTCTATCACGGGTTCGATCGATAGGGTTCAAATTATAAATTCGAATAAGACGTCGTGATCGTATTTTGTTATTTTTTATGTTTGTATCGCTTATGAGTATATACTTTATGTAACTAATACTTTTTCATAGAAACTATATAATTTGATGTTGTATAGTATTTAGTTCATTAAAATATCTCTTTATATTATCCGTAACGATATATATTGTTGGTATAGTCACGTAAAAGGCTTTATGACGATTTTCTAGGATTTTCTAGGCTACGTGGCATAAGAGTAATATGAAATTCTCGTAGCACTCCAATAGTCAGTCGGCTTCCATTCGTTATTGCAAAAAGGCACTGACATGGAAAATATGTTCCAGCATAATATTTGTAATTACTTTTGTAGGTGAATGAAATACATCTCAGTACAGCGTAGGTATATGATGAATTAATACTCCAATTAATGGGGCATGGGGCATAAAAAGCAGTTATTGTTCCATGCCCCATGTCCATGCAACTGATTGTTTGAAATTAATAAGTGTAATATTATTTTTCAAAAGTAACTTCGGATATGATGTGAAAATAACACAAGTTTTTTCATT